TCTGTTTCACTTTAAACTGAAAGAACTTTCTTTTATGAAAAGTTATTTTTATGATTAATTGTCGTTTATTTGTTTCTGGTAATAACAGACTAACTTTTTACAATTTCACCGAGATTGTATCTGTTCGAAAAATTTCAATTACATATAAAAATTGATGATTATATATTAGTCTTCACTTGATAGTTTTATGTCATAAAAACGTCTTTTTATTCTACATAAATACATGACGAAGCATTGGACATGTGAAATGTATAGTTCGATGTAAGAGTATCATAAATTTATATAAAGCTTTTCCTTTAGAATAAGATAATAGCATGCATAGTATATAATTGAAATTAATGCATTCAGAAATTAAGTTTTCTCTCCAAATTATTAACTCTACTATCATTAGAGTATTGAAGTGACTCCACTTGAATTTGTATCATCTTGTTGAATTTGATTGTTGAGATGAATACCACTAATAAAACATTGTGACAAAGTTCTATGTTCCTATGTGATCAATTCTTTTTCGAAAATTTGAAATAAAGCGCCGGTGGCTCTCAATTCGCTTCGCAAAATGACGACATGGAAGTGATAATTTTGTATTTATTTTCGAGATAATGAAAGAAGTTTCATCAGCAACAGTGCTTACGAGAGAACTTATTTAACTGCCGAACATCATTCGATCCCATATTTTTGCAATAAGTAGGACTCAGTGAAACTAAGAAAACCTTGAAAGAGGTTTTGCCCATACATAACTCAAGCAAAGTTATGAACATTTTAGTAGGTTTTTGACTTTTGAGTTAGCTATTCATAAAAAAATTCAATCTCATAATTTTCATCTGAAATTTTGTCAATAGACCGAGCTCACAGCCACTAGAATATCCTTAAAATGTCAACTTCTACGGATGTATTTTTCCTGAGATATTGAGTATCCAACAAATGCTTATACAATAAGGTCAGCCATAGAATCGATTTGTCTTACAAGAGAACCTCGCCAGATGATAAATTGCTTTTCAGATGAGTCTTACCTTATTAGGTAGAGTCTATTGAGACTAGAACAATCCTAAAGAGATTCATGCCCATGCATTTTTCTTCTTGCGTTATGGTCATTTTATTGAGTTTTTCAACAAAATGCCGTGGTTTCGTTCAGCTTACCTTCAAAATGGACTTTCGAGTTTCGAGTTCAAACTTTGCACAAAGAAATTTTGTGGAACTCACATATATTTTTGAAGAAAATAGTGAGTGTCAGTTTTAAGGACAAGTTTTTGCGGCTTCCCCCTCCCCTCTCTGAAAATAAAAAAGGAGTTTTGCAGAACCTTTTTATAGGTTCTGCTATCGGGTAAAACGCAGAACCCTCAAAAAAGGTTCTGACTGAAAAAAAGGTTCAGTAAAGATATAACGAAACCATATCTGATTTTTCTTCAAAAACGGTTCTATCCTACGTATAAGGTGTTTCATTATTTAAATGGTTTATCGTTGGCATTTCCCATATCTCTGTATCCCTATTTCCATATTCTTATATCCATACCCTTATATCTATACCCTTATAACTATACCTTTAATACTACATCCTTATAACTATACCCTTATATCTGTACCCTTACGACTATAACGCTTATAACTATACCTTATATCTACACCCTTATTTCTGTATTCTTAATTCTATATCCTTATATCTATACCCTTACAACTGTACCCTTATATCTATACCCTTAATACTACATCCTTATAACTATACCCTTATATCTATACCCTTAATACTGCATCCTTATCACTATACCCTTNCAGCATCATGGGACAGAACCTGTTGGGTTCTGTACTTTTGAATAGAGAACATTTTATGGTTCGGCATTTTTTGACAGAACCTAACTAGGTTCAGCGTCATTGTGCAAAACCTTTTCGGTTCAGTATTCTTCGACACCGAACTTTTTATGGTTTTGAATCTTTTTCATAAACCTTCCAAAGTTCAGTACTGTTGGACAGAACTATTGATAGTTCTGTACTTTCATACAGAACTTGAAAAGATTCTGCACGAGCTACAGAACCATAAAAAGGTTCTGCAGTACTCCTTTTTTTCTTTCAGAGTAGTTCATTGTGAAAGTTTCAGATTTTCTAGTAACTGTTAACTTACATTATACGAATATTGAAAATTCTGGTATGTGAAAATACAAACTTTGTTCTTATATTCATATTTTAAGATAGGATATTAGAAAATCTAAAACTTTCATAATGAACTAGTCCTATTGAATTCTTTTTGTGCAAAGTTTGAACTCAAAACTCAATTTTTGAAAGTAACTTGAACGGGATCAAAACATTTTGTCGAAAAACTCAGTGAAAGGATCATAAGTTAAGAAGAAAGATTCATGTGTGTGAATCATTTTAGACTTTTTTTCTACTCTAAATATACCGTAAATAATGAGGTAAGACTCATCTGAAAAGCGATTTGTCATCTGGCAAGATTCCCTCGTTAATATTATCTATTTAGCATCATTTTTTTATCAGCGCTATCGTCAATGTGTCTAAAAGCTTTGATATTAGTTCCTAATGTAACTTCAGGTTTCTTTTTTTTTTATTTTTCAGATACGATGATCACGTGATCAGTTGTGTTGACTCCCTCACTCTCCCAGTAATCAAATGTGATATGTTCAGCATTCCCTCCAGAGACCCTTACAGAGCATTCTTTTTCGTCCTGTTCTGTCCTAAGAGCATATAAACTGAGGTCAACTATGGAATGGGTTAGTAACATGACGAAAATTTTTTATCATGTTTATATTTATAGTGCTCATTTCCTTTTTATATAATTAGTTTCAATAGAATATGACCCATGTAAAAAAACGATCACAAATCTGTTATAAACCGATAAAAATCGTACAACTTTTATTCAATTATAATCTTTTTTGATATTTTCTGATTTCTTTTATCATATTAATCAAGATTCAGATAATTAAGAAAAACACAATTCCCTTGCCTTTTACTAAATATGTTTCTTTTTTTATGGAACTAAGTTTTTTAATATTGACTGTTATATTGAATTGATACAAAGAATATCATAAAAAAATAAATTCAACATGATACATTAAAATAAAATTTACCATAATTTATTTAAGGGCACTCCGCTTTCACAATCCAAAATTCACTTTTATTGATTTCAATTTCTTTGTATCTAAAAAGACATTGAAGAGTCCTCTATCAAATGGCATATGAATAAAAAGTTTTTATGCTTATTTAGATCCTTAAAACAATCCGACTTTCGATATCCTCCATACAAAAAAATCACGTGTTACAGCACTGTTGTGTTGTAAATGATCTATACCAATATAGTTATTTCATCATCAAAATGTGTTATGTGGGTCAGCAATGCATTCTTCTAGTCGCTCTGCAATTGCATTAATTGATACCTATGCATAAGACAGTGAAAAACATGGCATATTGAAAAAAATGTCGTTTTACGTTATTTTGTTTTTTTCTCAAAATCAACTTTTTTAGAGAAAAATTAAAGGGTTTCCCCTTTTTCACCCAGATACTTCGACCGATTGAGCTGACATTTTTTGTGTGGCAACAAGAACCAAATCGGGGTGCATATATTTTTTCTTTTCGTAAAATAATGTTCTGGTTGGTCTAGGCAGATCTTACAGAACTTGCTCGAGGAAATAAAAAAAACTTTTTTTTTTATAGGGCTTGCGATGTTTCAGTTGTCCTAAGCAAAGAAAACTATATGTTTCAAAGAAAAAAATACATACATCTCAATTCGATCCTAGTTGCCAGAAAAAAGAAATTCAGCAATGAATAATGAGTTTTGGCTGTTTGCGAGATAATATACATTTAATCAGAATAAAAGAATATAATTTTTCTTATAATATCACATTTGCCACTCAAGTGATTTAATTCAGGCCATAGATTTTATCAAAAATAATCAAATTCGTTATAGAATTTCTCTGAAAGTTAGTCTCTTGCGTGTAAATCATTGCTGGATGCCTATTTTCAGTGTTACTCACGCACTACTCGAAATATTTTGAATAACATCAAACAGTTCGGAAACCACCAAAAATCATCATATTCAACAGTTTCGGCAACCTAAATTATACTTAAACTAATTAAATCATCAGGACAGTCGATTATCTCTCAAAGTACTTACCTATTAAGGTGTTTTGAGCAGTGGTGACAATTGGTGAAAATATAGCAACAGATCTTCGAAGACACTGACTCTTGAACTGCGTCTAAATGACGATAGCGCTACACTTGAATCAGTTGCATATATATATGTATAGCTGTAGCCGCAAAAATAAACTGGTGAATGAATAGCGAACACAGAGACTATGCGCAATATTTTGAGGATACTTCGGAGTAATGTCTCAAACGTTTTGAGGGCTACCTGAAAGTATTCTATGTAACTTTTGAAAGGCTCTCTCTGGTACTATCTTCAGCTTTTCGAAGGCTACAGGAAGGTGCTCTCTGCAACTTTTTGAGGGTACTTGTGGATACACACTGTAACTTTGGAGAGGTATTTCTGAGTACCATCTTTCAACTTTCCAGGACTAATTCGATCTATTTTGAAAGGTTACTTGAAGATGTTACATGTATTTTGATTTTCCTCGACTTTTTAGCAATGTACTCAGTTTATGCTCGATTGGCATTATATTCACATCTATGTCAATAAAACTAATATTAAATAGTATTGGTAACATTGGCATTGGATCCGCACTGGAGTATAATTTGAACCGCAGTGATCGTTACGGTATCAGTTAACAAGAAAAATTTGAAAGTATAATATTTTCATTAAGAAGATGCAATTTTTTGGGAATAGTGGTGTTCTATGAAGTTTAAGGAAGGTTCTCTAGGTGGAAGAATGTCAATAACTATATGGTAGTTTGCTGGAAACAATAAACTCACAATCAGCGAGAAACTGATTAGTGATTAAGATTTGCTGATCTCAAAAGTCTTTGACGAAGCTTTATAAAGGACCCATTATTGTCAAATAACTTCCTCTCCTTGATCAAAACTTAAAAACTCACAAATTTTCCATGATATTGGGTAAGGTCATCTTAACTATTCTGGTCTATTTTAAGCTAGTGTCGAATTATACCAATACCACCAATATCATATTGATTTTATTATATTTCTGCTCTCGATATGCTAAGTAAACTTCGCCCATTTCCTGTCTTTATTCTGATTCTCTGGCGTTGGAATTTCTTCCGTCTGACTTGTTTCAGAGATATATGCGTATCCATTTGTTTCTGATTCCTTTCTCATTGTTTTGATTTTTGGTAATAAGTCCTAATGCTGTTATTTAATAATTATCCGAAATATAAGCATTTTCAAGTAGATTAATCACTGAAGCTAACGCTGAACCATTCGTGTTTATGGGAAAAACTACAAAGTGGTTAATCGTTCACAGAACAATACATGATTCTGTACGCGGTATGTGGAACCTTTTAGCATTAAACCCCATCATGCAATATTTTATAAGAAAATTGCAAAATGTAATGACAGTCCACGAAACTGTCAGCAACTTCATGTAACATATACTGAACCTTTAGACATCCTATGAAACTATCGATAGTTTCGTGTCAAACTTACGAAACTTGCAGAGGATTTCGTTGAAGACTTGTGTAACCTTGTGAAATCTGCAGAACTTTAAAAGGTCTGAAGAAAAAACCCGAAGCAATTTCCATTTCACCCAACCTAAAATCGTTCGGTATAAGAATGCGAAACTTTTACAGGTCAGCAATAAATCTATTTTTTAGAGTGTACGTCTCGCTTAGATTCATCATTGTTTTTGGCTAAAAATAATCATACATTCTATAGAAATTTTTATCCTTCATACATTATCTATTCATAAAGTATTACAAGTGTGTGCTACATTTAAATTTTATTTTATTTAATAAAAGAAAAATCAACCACGTCGACACATCATCTTTCGGCCTAATGTTTTCAGAAAACTGAAGAGAGCCTTACGAAATACACTTCCTCCACTTAATGTATAAATATAAAATGGCATTCCACAAGACATATACACAAACAAAAGAAACAAATTAAAGATAAAACTTTCAATAGTTATTTGCAATTGAGACTTGAGCATCGATCGAGTTACGGTTGTATAGAGTTTACCAATAGCCATAGGAAAAGTAAGTAGAAAGATGAGAAAAACTTGAGCAAACAGCATTATCATAAAAGGACGATCTATTTTCTTTCGTCGAGTCGTATTTCCAGTGTTGTTCTTTGTTGTGATTTGACCCAAACGAATATCCATCGTCCTCGTCGTTGGATGCAAACGAAATCTCGATTTACGTACATTCGAGACGGTCAGAAAACCAAAAATAATCATCAATATCAATGGAACTAGGATTGTAATTAGAGCAAAGAATAGGTCCGATACAATGCCGCACAGCTGTGTTTGTGTATAACATTTAAGTGGTGTATTGGTAAGATTGGCTTCAAAGCAATAGAATTGTTGTGCTTCAATAATAGTTGAAACGATGAGAATCAGTATTGTACCGAGTTGAGCATTCTTCAAGGTACTTGTTTTTCGTCGATTAGCATTGGTGTGTGATGAAAGCCATCGATCAACCGTAGCCAACAGGATAAGCCAAGAGCCAATAGTCATTGCATTGAATAGAAGAAAGGCACGAAGTTTGCAAAGAAATCGATTTGTATTTGTTAGATCTGCAGACCAAGTTGATAACGGTCGAGAAGTAAGACCAGCAAGAATACCAATACCATTAGCAATTGACGAAGCAAAAAAGAGCCATGCACATGGATTTGAACGGAGAGCTCCTTGCGATAAAACACATGCATTGAGAGTATTACCCACAATACCAAAGAGAAAGATGAAAATTCCAAAGTAACGATTTAGTTGAATTGAAGCATTGTTCAACGCAACAATGAGGCTTGCATCGGATAATGATGACATTTTTTCAGTGAATGAAGCAGCTATGTGAATAAAATGAGAAAATATAGAATGATATATATAGCAGAATTATTATTATCTGTCATCTATTCTCTCATACCTATACATCCTCACAATCTAGAGCATCGAGTTTCCGTAACTTTCATTTTTACATATCCTGTCATTTTAATCAACTTAATCTATTCAGAAGTAATAGAGCCTACTAATTTCGGCTCGCAACAGTAAGTAAAAGTATTGAATAGATGAAAAATACCGAACTAATATGAGGAGATTTAATGTGAAAAAACTTATGCCTCTCTGTCTCTCATTTTCATAGACGTAAGTAATTAGAAGGCAATAAAATTGAATATGAAATAATTATCGAAAAAAAAATTGAGATACGGGATGCACAATGAATGATTATGTCTGAGTTAGGAGCCAGTCTACGTAAGCCACAACTTATTGCCGTAGAAGATTGTTCAATCATAGTCTTCGATTTGTCTGATATTCATCCCATCTTGTAGAGCTTTTTTTTCGGTAGAGAACTAAAGTTTTTATCCTTGATTTAGATCTTTCTATTGAGTTCCATTGAATTTTCTAGCGATTTTCTGTGAGATTTTTAAAGATTTTTATCAAAAAATAATAGACAAATCATCTTTCCTATATATTTTCTCCCAATATATGGATGGAATGCCGTTGATACTTTCTTCTCAAGCCCTACGGAGCCAAGGGCTATTTCAGGGTGCAATCAAAAGTTTGGGACTTCTGATTAAGCTAAATCAATCGAGACTTATACGGATTGACTCTTAGTCCTTTACCCTCCAGAGTGATTCTAGAATATCTTAATGAAACAACCAAAGCAAACATAATATTGGTCGTCCCGACATGTCAATAGTATGGGCAAATGGTCATCCAACATGCCTCTTGCTCGAGCTACAATATGCAGTACAAATAATACCGATAAAAGTATTAAAACTTCATGTTTTTTTAAATTTCGCAATAAATATTGTTGCCCATGGCCAATGCCATTTGCCAATGGGTGGTGGTAAAGGGTTAAATCCACACTGATTAGTTCTTTCTATATAATTAAGATGAGTATTCATTTTAGTTACAATTTAGTCGTCAACAAAGATAACGCCGGTATTAGATTCTTGCTGTGCTTGGTTTTTCTTTCATCATCGCTCATTATTCCGAAGAAATAAAAGTCTAATTTTAACAACCTTATTCTCTTAAACAAAGACTAAAAGTCAACGAGTTGTATTCCTTATTTAAGCCTCATTCAAAAAAAGTAATATATTTGATAATAAAAGGTCGCTACGACTGTTGAAAAGTAGCTTGAAAATCGTCAAACATCGATTCCGTGCTCGATTAATAGAATGAACCATTACGACTAGCTGAAATCGAACCTGAATAATCTTTACATCCATTATAAGCGAGTCGACTGAGAAATTTGAACATATCGCTGTCTCTTTTAGGTCCCAACCAGTAACAATGAATAATAGAAAATATGATCTGAAAGTATTACCATGGTAGCTGTATATTACATTTTTTAGGCACTAGGATAGTGATGGGAAGGAAGACAACAATGAAAAATAAATAAAAGTTAATAACGACATAAATAAATTCAAAAGAGTGTAATTCAAACAAATGTTTGAACTTGATGTGGTATTCTATTTTTTATGTTCTTTTCCAAAGGAGAATGAGTTTGTGTTTTTTATTGTATCAGAATATGGATATGAAAGAAAGGATATAGACATTCAATATCGCTGGTTAGAAGAAATAATAAAAAATTATTCTAACATAAACACAATGTTTTCGTCAAAAAAATATAGCGTCGGTCAACTTTCTTAGTAAAATAAAAATGCCGTTTCCTCACAAAAATAGAACATTTATCATAAATTTGAAAACCCTAAAATAAACATTGAAACATCAATACTAAGAATTATTCAACAAAGAGTCTTCTTTATTTTTAGGATTATTTTATTCTTCACTTAAAACATCAAACCAATAACCGACACTATCGATGAGAATATTCATGAAGCGATCGATCACGTTGATTTATTATTTGACTACACGAATACTAACGCAATATGGAGCAACAGATCAAACATATTCCTTCTATTTGCATGCACAAAACCATCTGATGAAACAGTTTTTCGTATATGTCATGAAAAGCATTGTACCTTCTCATGTAGCTGATACTGAAAAAATAATGGAAAAACGGCCCATTATTTTTCATTATGTCATAATATGCATGAAACAATTAATTGTAATTAATTATTTTCTGTATTTTCAATGCATTATCGAAAATAATATTGTCATCTTTGATAATGCAGCAAATTTTCAATCTATTGCAATGCCTTATTTAGAGTGATTGCTTAAACTTCGAGAACTCATTATTTTCCTTAGAGGAGAGGTTGATAAAACGTGGTTTGAAAAGTCTGAGATTCGATGTAATAGTTTTCTTTGTGTCACACTCTTTTCAAGAACACTCTAAAAAGTTACAAGACCGATAAAAAGTAGCAACTCTGTTGTTACATTCATAAAAAATCCATTTATTCACGGTGGTCGTTACCCAGGTGAATTACTCACGATCATATACGGTTCTATATCGTTCAACTACAGTCGAAAATAGTAACTACTGGAGTGCTGCTTTACAACAATCATAATCGAAGCTTTGCGATACACTTGATCTACTGTAAATAATGGTCTAATGCCGTTAACGACAAATGTAACATATAGCAATTAGTCATCAGTGACCGACGTCCGAATAATAACGTAAGATAGCATACACTAAGTGTAAAAGGCGGATTAAATAAATGATCATCGTCTTCGATCGCATTTGTTGATAAATAGTCGTTAATATCAACTACCTGTATTCGTTCAAAAGAATGAGTAATCAAGAGTTGATTCAAACCATCTCATATGCTTCTATTGTCTGATATACATCGTTCAGCAGTGCATCCAGCAAGCATATCAAAATATGTAAACACACGAGCATAAATCCGATACTGTAATCGTACAAATTTAGGCATAGGAATGTAGTTATAAAAGTATAGGCTTTTTAGTACACTGAACTAATGGAGCTACAGTTTTGACACAGATTTATGCAAAATTAGTTCCAGCTAATATATTCGAGATCTCCATGGATAATATTTTCTGACTATTCTAAGCTTCAACCAAAGCAGCTAGAACCTATTTAGGTTCCGTAGTTTTCTGACTCAATAATTTTTAAGTTGAAGAGTTTTCGGCTAGAACTTAAGATGCTTCGTAAAATACTATAGAAATCTAGGACCTTAAAAGCTCAGTCAGAAACATTTGTTTTAGAGAGTATAGATTGAACAGCATACTCATAGGATTCCAATCATGTGAGTATAACGTATGAAGTTCTTAATGCATTAAAATGCATTTTAAAAAATATTGTGCGCAATTACATGATAATGCAACCTATTTCATGCATAATAATACGTGAAATAGGTTGGGTTGTCATATCATTGCATTCATTGCGCTTCTATTGGGAAACAATGCATTGTAATATCTGCTATTTTGGTAAATCGATTACATAGGTTGTAGCATTGCTTTGTCGCAATGCAATACTTTTACATAGAAGCTCTATATTGCTGTTTCAAATTTATATTCGAAAAGCTCCATCATACTTCGTATGTTTAGATATATAATTTAGCTTTTTCTTAGTTAGTTTGATTCGATGCTCATCCCATGTAGATCATCAAGAGGAAGGGCTAGAAATCTGTGAGAACATTGTCGGTACCTGTCCCATGCCATTTCGTATTTAAGTTTCTTTGTTTGTCACATTCTCAATATACATCATCAAACCCGTTATTTGATCGATCAAATTGAGTATTCATTTAACAAACACATATATTTATTCGTGTCATCGATTGATAATAATGGAAATCCAAGGGCAAACTAGAAATATGAATAGAAGTAGTGTATTTGGAATAGAGTTTTCAAAATAAAAACCCATTGTTTGTCTTGTCATTTACAGACTTCAACGAGAAAATATAAATCGGTTGTTGAACGTGTTTTTTTAGTCATGATTGGCGTTCAGAGTTGATCAAGAAAGCCAACAAGTATATTTAGTACTCAAATAGTTTCACTTGTGAGTTGAAGTTTTGAAATCCTCTACTTTCAAACCAGATGTCTCCTTCTCGTCAAAACAAAAGGATTGAATTAAAATTTGACATAAGCAAAATTCTCTTTTTATTCTTTATTTAAGATGATTAGCTAATTAACAAAAACTAGGGACGTTCCATAATTCGATGAAATACTTTGTCAAACATTGAATTTGAGACAAATCTCAAATATAGTTCAGGAAAAGGTGTTTTTTTCGTTTAAACCAGTATATATTGTCAAAAAATAAACATTTATCACAACTCAACACTGATTCAAAGGAAGAGATAGAAAGAAATTGATCCGCACCAATGGCATCGTAATGCTATTCTCACATAGATAGAATAATATTTCGAGACCATTGATGCAGATCAATTTCTTGCTATTTTCTGCTTCTAAACAGCGTTTACGTATGATAAACGTTTAATTTTGGATAAAATATACTGGTTGAAATGATACAATACCGTTTTCTAAACTACCTTAACTTAAATTCTATTGATTGAAAAGTAAATTTGCTATTCTAATTTTTGAAAGTGTCAAAGTGGTTGCAGAAGATGTAAACATTAATGTAACGAATTCTTTATTCTTATGTCAAAAGATTTAAAAAGAAATATCGAACATTTCATCTTCATTTTAGCTTTAAATAATACACGCTTTATTTATATATTACATTTATCTCTCATTCACTTTACAAAAACATTGTGTTTTGCGTTCAATTTGTACTACATATTAACGATGTCCTTTGATATGAAATCAATTTAGTCTATTTATTATGATGAGTTTTGCTCATCATTAAGAATTTGTTTTTGGTCGACAATGTCGAAAATATGCTCTAAAGAAAGAAATGATGTATCCCAATGTGATTGAACAATATAATGAGTTAATGGAGTAACAATCAATTTTGTGTCATAAGTAGTTTCTGCGATAATTTGAACATTATATAATGTCTGAATTATTGTGAAAGTAAGCGATCTAGTTGGTCGTGGAGATATTATTTGAACTGGTATTTCTAATCATGAAGTAAGACTAGATTTTGCTTGAACTATTTAAAATAGTGACTCGAGGTGTTGTTATCGAATGTGGGTGTGGGCGAGTTTGGCTACGATTGCTGGTCTTCACTTCACCCATACCTATAGCCACACATCCACTTGCACACCCGCTGCACAAAAATAAATATGACTTATTTTTTTGAAATCAATATGCATACCATTGGATTCGCTTTTGCGATAAGTCTAAATAAGAAAAAGTATCATTGAATCTTGTGAACAAATACCTACTGTGGAATCAATTGTTTGAATGAATTTAAATAACGAAAGTACTATTTTATTTTTTAAATCAACACTGACGATTGAATTCGCTGTTGCGTTAAATCTAAAGAAAAAACAATAATTCAATTCCTGAAGCCATTTTCTAAGCACATTGGAGCTGGAAATAATCACTATTTGAGCAAGTATGCCTCTTAGAAAAATTTTTGACCAACCAAATTTCGTAAAAACAAACTACACCATCGTGTAGCCCGTAAAAAACTACATCGAACCATGAAGACAAAAGTGCATCGTAGAGTCACTTCGTAAGTGATTGCACTGCATGAAGATCCATGACATACCAAAAATGTGGATGAAAACATTTTATGTTCTTGAAAATTTTTTACAAATGTTTATTATTTTTCGTTGCTTCATATAGAATTTTGTGCAGAAATTTTTGCTCTTTCAAATGAGCCTATTTAAAGCTAGTCGATCTTTCGTCTTGATAAACATAATCACTCTACACTGAGTAAAAATACGGCATAATATACATGGGTCGGAAGGCATGAAATAGTTCCGACAATGTTTTGAACTTGGCATCGAAAGATTCGCCGTAAAATTCTGCATCGAAAAACATAGTTCCTATGGAAATCTGTTCGTGGGTTGATACCTGTTCTTATGCGCCCCGTCCTTTACACAAGAATATTGTGTATAAAAAATATTGTAAAGACTACGTAATCAAGGAAGCCACAGTGGACAACCTGGCGGACATTAGCAAAGGTATACCTTTCCAAAGTTCAAATATTAGAATAAATACATCTATGGTTAGTCTATCCTGCCTTGAAAGAAAATTTCAGAAATTCAGAAAAACGTTGGAAAAGTTCATTTGTATAGATTTTCACATAAATCGCTATTTATAGAAAAAGTTAATTATTCGACCAACTTAACGAAAATATTAAAAAAAGGAAAACTATCAGAAACGAATAACTGCCCTATGGAGTTCATTGTGATAAAACAATTATTTTGATTGAACTCAAATTAGAAAAGAAAAAACTTGACTGACCAACTAAAAGTAGCTCCGAAAGTTGGTCATTCTGTATTTTGCAAATCCTGCAAAGAGTTTAAGTCCGATTGACCTTAAAGTTTTACCCATTATTCTTCTATATGTGATCTATCGTTTATCTAAGCATAACTTCACACTGAGGATAGCAGGCTGTGCTAGAGATTTTCTAATTACCCAGGTTATTTGCCCTTAAATCCATCTTTTCTCAATTAAAATAGCACTGTGGCGCAAAATGAATATGATATTCGAAATCAGTGCGGAAAACTGCTTGGGATGATGTAGGACACAAAACATTTTCTAACAAAAAAGGTTTTCGAAAATCTCGACAAGGGTCTCCTTCAGGTGTTTTACCCCGAAATTTTATTTTTCAAAAATGCTTTATTTTCGTAAAGTCAATTTTCAGAGTGGTATACAAACACTTCTGAGTAATGGGAACCCATTTCAGAGCAGAAAAGCTACATGCCCGCCTGTTTCATTAAAATTGCTTACTGTGGAAGGAAGGTTTGCGGACTCTGACATTTAATTATTAAGGAAGGAAGGATGGAGAAGTCAAAATAAGCAAAAACTTGACAACATTACCCTTCAATGGCCTCTTGAAAGGATGCACAGTTTTCATGCATTTTTCAAAATGTTTTGCAAAGATGGTGAGTTTTTAAATAGCATTATGTTATATGTGATCACACAAAAGAACGTTCGGAGTTCTTCTTTTTCGATTGCTGAAACAGTACAAGTGACTCGTTGTTCCCATCATAGGATAATTTAGATGACATCCACCGCTCTTGAATTCCGACGCGAACATTAGATATTATCGTTAGACGAGAATATTTACTTGCTCCCGTCAATTAGCACAAAGTAAACAAGAATATGAATGTTAGAACTAGAGATAAATCAACTCAGCATAAACTGAAAATTCCAGATCGAGCATGGGTTAACCTTCGATTAAAGCCCGTCATTTAAAAACAAAAGAAAGTAATATAAAACTATTCAAACATCAACAAATGTTTCAAGGTTGACGTGTACGATTACAAGATAACAGTTGTTGAAATCACATAAATTATTTTAAGTAGAACACTTTAAGAAAAACTTTAGATTAATTTTACATTAAAAAAACACAAATGAGTTGTAGTAGTCGTTTTGAAAAGTATTTTTTGCATCTTTCAAAATAAGTGCTGATCCTACAAATCGTTGAATGTATATTACTTTTTCTCAATATCATTATGTCTCTGAAAACCATCAAGAGAAATGTTTTAAAATTTCTTCTTAATACAATGTCAATTAACATTAAACTGCTCATATTCATTATTCATGTAACTCTTTTTCAGGCAACGTGTCTTTCTAATTTGATTTTGTAGTAAAAGAAGGGCATTGTAATTTTTTTTGAATTATTTATTAATATTTTCAATTTGTTTCTAAATAAAAATACCATAAAACAAGGTTCAAAATATTTGAATACCACTCAAATAATTTCTTTCTTTAATTTATTATAATACAATAAGTCGAAATATAATATTTTCATTTTCTTCTATTTTGTTTCTCTTTTTGATTGTTGTTGACTAGCATGTAAATAATAAATCCAATAAGTTAAATTAAATATAAAAAATGTTAATGGATAAAGAATACGTGCAATAATATCAATTTGACTTACACTATTCATATAAAAAATATTTTTTAAAGCTCGTCCTTGAAATGCTGAATATGCTGGCTTACAATGAAAATGTCGACAATATTTTTTTAAACTTTTTTTTGATCTTATCTTTTTCGATGTTGATTTTCTTTTTATTGATGGTCGATAAACTAAATGAATATCACTACTACTAAACTCATTATCATTTGTATCTGAATCATCATTCTATAAAAATATAGAATAAAGATTAACAAATGTCTTCTTATAAATATTAAATTTCATACTCGAATAATATAATCTTCCAATTCACGCATATTTTCATTAAGATCACCTGTTCGTGCTTTTGTATAATAGTGAACTAGGGCAAATTCGAATAATGTTGAAAAAACAAAAATAAAACAAACAGCTAAAAAACAATCAAGCGCCGTAATATATGAAACTTTTGGTAGATCCTTTTTTCCTTCAATTATAACAAATATAAGTGTTAAGACTGTTGTTACACCTAGACGAAAACAAACAAATATATATATGATTAAAAAAATAGAAAGAGAAAAGATTTCTACCTAAATTAATACGATCATTTGTTGCTTCACGATTTAACCAAAGACCAACCCATGATAAAAATACGATAAGTACACATGGTATATATAATTGAATTAAAAAATAGCCCACATGACGACGAAGTGAAAATACAACGTATATTATTGATCGAGTTCCTATAGAAATATATTAGACTAAATATTGAGAAGTATTCTCGTCTCAATTGTAGGAATGATATAACAAACGTAACAAAAGATGTTTTGAATAATTGTAAAATATGAAAGTCGAATTTATGTATAGAATCGTAAATGTGCCTTGTTTTCGATGTTTTCAGTTACAAAATCATTAAAGATTGAAGTTAAAATTAATTCTAAGCATTTTTAATTCTTAACAACTCGCCATAAAAAACTCATGATTTCGGGAATTATTTTAATCGAAGTCGAAATAAAAAAAAGCACAATTGAACATCATGGATTTATATTTCAGGATAAAAGGTGATTAATTAATAGATCGCTAGATGAACAATTCTTTAGCATCTGTTAGGAAGAATGAGTTTCTTCAATCACTTTGCTAATGAGAAAAATAAACGAGTTATATGAATTTCGACATGAGTTCAAATTCCTCTCATTCATTTTTCCTAAAAATCCAAAATTCTATAAAATCTTCGTACACTGCATAGTGCTTAGTGGCATGCATTTTCAATGAAACGTAGTGCCCAACAGTCTGCTTTGATTCCTTTAGACACTTCCACATAAACTTAAATTTGAGGTTATGAAAACTTGATTTTTAGTACTTACCACTTTTTTAGATATCTCAATTAACAAACTAACAAAATCAATCATTTTCAAAAAACAAATAATGACAATATTTCGGCTACGGTCCTAAATAGAATAAGCATACTAATATTTTTCCCCGTGTTACTGTAAGACATTAGTATCCACATTAGAAAAGAATGGACTTGACGACTCTTATATAAACTCGAGAAAACTAACACTCGTCGAACAATAATACACACGTTCGGAATACATGGCAGACATAAACTTGTAAACTAGAGAGAATTATTCATTAATAACTCTTAGTACTCTTGAATTCTTCTACATAAAAGATCTGACAAGATATTTTTATGAAAATATTCTATAATATATGAAGTGAAATATATTAAATATCATTATGAAAAACTACTAATTAGAAAACAAAGTTTTGATTGCATATATATGAATATTCATAGAATTATCATGAGCTTACGATTATCTCTTAAGAGAATTTGTGTACCCACACTTGCATCAATCAATGAAAACTGATTCATAATTAAATCACTTTGTACATCAACAGCACTTTTCTTGTTCCATTCATATATTGTTTCTTCACTATCATAAGCAAAACTACCAATCAATAAAGTACAATGTTGTGTATCAAGTGGTAAATTTCGAAGATTCATTATACATGAACCTCGAATAGTTAAACTACAAATAGAAATTAAAAGCAGAGGAAAAACAACGAATCAATCAAAATTAACTTAGAAAAAATACTAACCGTTGTGAATAAAGTATACTACCATCAGTTGCAATACGAAAAAATCGATTAACATGAGGTACTGAATGAATATAAGATCGTCGACCGTTATAAAAATATGTATCAGGTTTCCAAATTTTTGAAAACATTTGTATGCTAACTGGTAATAATTTATAATTCATAGTTGATGTTGTATTATAAATAAGACGAGTATCAGTCCATCGTTGTCGAAAAAAACAATCAAATGAATATTCCATATCGAGTTCACTGATACCACTCATACTACGAACATATATATCAACAATAACTTTATCTGGTTTACCTTAAGATAGCATACAAGACAACAAAATAAAAATAAATGATAAGAATAGATGCACACCTCCATATGTTGGTCGATGATAACGATCGTAAGTTTTCAATAAATCATTAAGAATAGCTGAAACATTTCTTAAGTCTGATGTTAAATTTGAAGTATTGATTAATTTGAATGTGCTCATTATTGTTATGAAAATATAAATAATATTGATGTCAGTCATTTTTTTACTTCATCAATAAATAAAATAAAACCATTTAGTTGATTGCTTCTCGATCCAATGTTTTCCGATCTCTTTTCTCATTCATATTTTTTTTTCTTCTACACGAATGATTATATTCTATGCTATGAGGTTCGGATGTCGCCAATAATTTTCATTTATTGTATGAGCACACATTGACAATGAAATAGGAAGAGAAAAGAATTATTTACATAAGAAAATAACCGGAAATAATCTATTAGACGGCATCATTCTGTAAAGATATAAAAACTTTTCAAATCCGCTTTTTTTTTTGTTTGATTTCGAAGTTTTGTCATGAAAAATGAAATCATTTTTATTGCTTTTTTTATTAACAATGATTCTTGACATTATTCAAAGAACGTATATCTCTCTTGTAGTTTTTTGGTCCCTATCAAATATATGCATGTTCTTTTATTTTTGCTTCTTGTCTACGAAAAACAAATGAGAAAGAAAAAAAAGAAATACTTCATTTCTTTTTTAATGATAATAGTCGTCGTTATTTTTAGCCTTTTATCTAGAAGCGAAGTGCAAGCTTATAAATTATTCGTTTTTTAGTGTAAAATATGGCAACATCATTAATGGATAAGAAACCTTGTATTAAATGTGATAAAGGAAATGGTATTATAATGTGTTTCGGATGTGAACAATCTTTTTGTATAAAACATATTTTAACTCATCGAGAAGATCTCACCATACAAATGGATAATATTGGACAAGAACATGATTTTCTTCGACGAGATTTTTATCAAGAAGACAATAATACACATCCTCTTTTGACTCAAATTAATACTTGGGAACTTCAATCAATTGTTAAAATTCAAATAGCTGCTGAAACTGCTCGAATTATTTTGCAACAAATAATTAACCGAAATAGAAATCAAATGAAAATGATGATGAATAAAATAACTCATGATTTACGTTCAAGTCGAGAATCAAATGATTATACTGAGATTGAACTTGAAAAATGGACTGAACAAATAAAAGAACTTCGCCGGTTAATCGATGAGCCTGTCGCTATTGATATTATTGAAGATAATCATATACAATCATCTATTCGTTTAATTAAAATAAAAGAAAATTTTAATGAATCATTGCGAGAATTCTGTTCATATAATCCTGAAATATTTGATCAAGCTATTGGGTCAGTAACACTTTCAGAAAAAAATCTTGTAGCAACATGTTCTGAACCTTATTATCATTATTCAAGTATTTGTGGTAAAAATTCTTATCTTACAGGAACTCATCGAATTCGTTTTCGAATTGAAAATATAACTGTAAAAAATTTATTTTTTGGTATTTTAACATCTTCTCAACAAATAATACCATGGATGATAGATTCATCATCGATTTATGGTTGGTGGGGACTTGAATGGATTATTATTAATGGGAAAGAACAATGTGTTAAGAAAGATAATATTTTAAAAATAGGTGATGAAGTAACACTAGTATTAAATTGTGAGAATAGACAAATTCAATTAGAACATCATCGAACAAACAGATTGGCTCAATTGTCTGTCAATATTCAAAAATGTCCATTACCATGGAAAATTCTTGTTTCGTTGTCAAATCGAAATGATTGTGTACGTATTTTACATTAAATAGAACCTTCTCTCATATAATTAATGAATGTATTTGGAAGAGTTAAATATAAAGATCGCTTACGGCCATACCACGTTGAATACACCAGTTCTCGTCCGATCACTGAAGTTAAGCAACGTCGGGCTCGGTTAGTACTTGGATGGGTGACCGCCTGGGAATACCGAGTGTCGTAAGCTTTTTTTTGTTTCTTTGTTTTTTTTTTAATCAAATAATTTACAAATGCGTTTTATGTGCTACAAAATTTTTANAGAAAATTCACTAAGAGCTCGATATCTCCTCAGAAACAAGCCAGAAACCCGACCTTTTTTTACCGTAAGCATAACTCACTACGGGCTACAAGATGCACGAAACCCCGATTGAAAAGCGCTCCCGCACCTTGGAAGGTTCCCTAGTTAGTCAGATTAAAAGAAATACCTTATATTAGTGTATTATTTTAGTATTAAAATTTTCTGTAAGTAATCTAATATGTGAATGCTCGTCCTTTTTTTAGAAAATGCCGCTTTTCTTTAGCATTTCATAAAAATCTCTTGAAAAATTCAACATTTTTATTATTATTTTACTTTTCTTTCGTGTTGCAATACTCAATAAGTATCAAATTTTCAGTTAATTGATTAGATAACTTCCAAAATAAAAATATAAGGTCGTCTTTTTCTCTTTTCGTTTCATTTATTCTAATTAAAGACTCGGTTCGTTTTTCTCTACCTATCTTCATCTTGCAATGAGTCAATAATTACATACGTGAAAGAAATTTCACGTGAATCATTTCAATTTTGTTCGTTAAGCTCTATGAATGGTTTCTTATTGAATGTCTATATCTTAATTATATGTTTTTCTAAAACGCATATACTTAACATAATTAAGCCAATTATAAAACTTCAATAAATATAAAACAATGCACTAATAATTGTCGTTTCAATCAAAGAACAACCTGTTTAAATTCTTAGTTTGATGGATGATACTGACGAACAGAGTTCTTTTTTCATTCAACATTATAACTGTTCACATAAACTTCATAACAAGAATATTTTAGTCAGTTAAATTATTAATACGTCGTTTAATTTTTGTTGATTTTGACTTCATGGCTCATTAGGTTGTATCATCACATTACTAGAATGATTTGTGCAAACTAGATAAACAAACCTAACTTTACATATTCGAATTGCGCATCACTGTCAGAAAGCGTCGTTTGATATGACATATTTGATAAGGTGTAGTTAAAAAGAAAACAATCTTTTACCTACATGAATCATCAAATAATTTTGACATCATTTAATTATTATACTTAATTTAAATAATGTGTTTGACAATTAAAAAGTATTTCAAATTAATCGAATGTCAAATCTAAAAGAATTTTTCGATGCTAATGGCATACTTTGCGGAAATACAAAGGTAGATGGCACTAGTCTTACGAATGTTTTTCTCGAATTATGTCGTAATCTAACTAAATCATAGAGAACTCACTAAAAAAACACTTAAAAAAGGGTTAGAAAAATCTTACAATTCAATAATGAGTACTTTCAATTTCAATTCAAGTAGAAATTCTAAAAAAACCTAATATCACCAATCAGAACATGAGTATGTATTTCTCATCATATTACAAATATGATTCAGACATATTGAAAAGAAAACAAACGGTGACAAGTACAGAATCAAATTTATTTTTTCCATTTATTATAATTGAAGATGTTCTGTCATCTATATCTAAAATGTTATATTATTTTAATAACCATCAATTTAAGTTTTACAGATATTTATTTACATAATCCAAGGTATACGAATTCTGATGAATCTTATTCTAATATTTATGTTCATCAATTTTTAGAGGTAGTAATAATCGGCATAATGAAAATACTCGAGAACGTCAAAATGAGAACTTGTAAGCAACTATTTACAATTTACCGTTTTTATTTTTGAATATTCCGAAATAAATATATAAATGTACTTGTTTTTTTCAGAAGTTATGATTCTCAAAATAACGGTCGAGGCGGATATAACGTTGGTGATGATGGAGCCATATATTATTATACTAATTCAATATTGCCAATTCAATGGTAATAATAATGTTTTCATTTTCTAATCATAAAATTTCATATAGGACAAATCAACATTCATGTAATGATGTTAACGCTGATTGTTCAATTTTATTTCAATATACATGTGATGACACACTTCGAGATGGACGATCAACAACGTATGTCATTTGTTTTTCATATGAATATTTTAATAGTATTAATTTTCAAATCTAGAACAATACCTGTATCAGTTGAGGGAGAAAATAATTCAACATATCGATTAACAGAAGATTTAACATCATATTTAAATTGTCGTGTACGAAGTCGAAATAAAAATTTATTTACTGCTAATCAAGTAATAGGAAAAAAATCAACAATTATTTATTTTACTAATAATTTTTTTTATTCATAGCGTCCTAATGGTGATTCATCAATTTATACACGACAGAATCGTGCTGGTACAAGATATGGCTATGAATGTCCTGAGGAACGTGATTATTATCCATATTGGCAACCAACTAATTGGATTGTAAGATATGTTCTCAAATAAGAAGTTTATTTTTTCTTTATTTTGATTACTCTTTAATTCAATAGGATATTGCTATCTTAACAAATCGACAAGATTTATGTTCTTATTATCGTCAAAATAGTCAAAATGTTCAATCACGTTTTGCATGTACATTTGCAACAAAAGCTGATTTAATTAAAGCAAATGACCTTAAGATTATTTTACCTAATAATAAAGAAGCATGCGAAGTATATTGATCAGAAATCGTTTTTTTTTTTTGTTTATCTCATTTTAATTTTGATAATTATTTAGGCATTTAATAATCCACTTTTAAATGGTATAAAACCTCGTTGGATTGAATTTCCAAGTCATAATCAACCACCACCAGAATGTTATTCACCATCATATACAAGAGAAAATCATCTTGGTGATGCTTCTGGTTCAGATATGCCCGTATATAATTGGACATTACCAAATATAAGTGCCAAAAAATGTGTTTTACGTGTTCGGTATGTTTTAAAGAGTTTTTTTTTTTCATCTCTTAATTCAATATTTTCTCTTGTTTTAGATATAATATATCAACTGGTGATTATGATGGTTGGAATATAAATTCAACAAGTGATAATGGTAATCTTTATATAATGAAAGAGTAAGACATAGACAAAAAAAAACTTGCAGAATCAGATAAAATCTTTTTGATTTATAAGATATTTTCCAAATCAATCGACTGCTGAAAGTCGAGGTTATCGTTATCAAACAAATCCTGAAATTAAATTATTTAATGATATAGATTTAACATTTCAACTTGCTATAAATACAGCACAATATGGACGAGTTTTTCAAGACAGGTTTTAAGATTTTATTTAAAAAATATAAAATTTATTATGAATAATTTAGATCGTTTACATTCGAAATTCGACAACGTCCATCAGAATATCAAGATAAACCTATTTATAATCTAAATGTAAGAGGTAGACGTGGAAATATTGTTCAAGGTAAATAAGAATAAGTCAAAAACAATTGTATATTATGAATTTGTTTTTTTTAGTATATCCAGCTGTTGAATATGATTTCGTACCAAATCGATTAGAAATTCCACCGAATTCATATGTTCATATTCAGTATGTCCTTTTTATTTTATATACAACGGTTTTAAAATTTAATCATACTGATTTAATGCCGACTTTTTTTCCATAATCGTTACTTGCATAAAGATGTCAAGTAGTGGCTTGCATAGAGAAAATTGTTTTTAACAAATATTTGAGGACAATAAAGTTTTCACAATATTTCTCAAATTTGATATCTCTAGAAAACCCAAAATCTAGTTTTTCAGCACATAGAATTCTCAAATAAAAATTTCTTTTGATTACAGCGGGCGACAGAGCAACTAACTCTTTGAAAAATAACACATCTCTGAGCTTTCAACAACATTTTTCGACGGAATCATATGGGTATTAAGAAATATCCAAAAAAAAAACTTCTTTTTTTCTCCTTTCAAAGGAAAAAACTGATCAAAGTACAATTTTCTTAAATTTATGTAATTCAGTCAGAAAATGTCATGGAGAACTTAGAAACGAGTTGGTTTTGCACAGAATTAGTTGATATAACACTTCGTGTAATCAAACGAAGCTTTTATTCTCGGTTTCTGAATGTTGAAAAACTAGGTTTACAGTTTTATAGAGACGCTAGATTTTGAAAATACTGCAGTGATTTTATTTTCCTCAAATCCTTATTGAAAAACAATTTTCTCTATCGAAGTCATTATTTAGATTCTTTAAGGAAGTTGCGATTACGAAAAAAAAAATCGAAATTAAATTTGTATGATCAATTTTCGGAGTCATTTTAATACACAAAAAATTGTATTTTTATTCAGATGGATTGGTTCAAATACTACTCCAGCAGGTAATGGACAAGGAAATCAACAAATTGATCGAAATAATTTATTACTTTTAACTAATAAAGTAAGTTTTATAGTGAAAGTAATAAAACAAATCATTTTTATGTTTTTTTTTTTTACTTTAGGTAATTAATCCAAACTGGAATCAATTTGAATATTTGAATTCTACTGGTTTATTACTTGCTAATATGCCTGCATTATTAAATCAAACAAGTTTTCTTCATTTACCTTTGAATGATCGTCGACAATTAGCTGCTTCGGGACAAAGTAAAAAATCGAATTTTTCTTTTCTATTATTCTTATTTGACATATTATAATAGATACTGATCCTTTACTGTACAACGCTTCGGCATATTTTGATCTTGGACCACGTTTAATATCTGCTGAATCAGCTGGTGTTTATCATTATGTATCAACTCGTAATAATGATTTTTCAAATCGAGATCAAAAAGGTCGAGTTATTGTTCAACCATTTCAATTTAAATATCAACTTATTGGACAAAATAGACATACAATGAAATTAGGGTAAAAAAATCTTTAGTTTTAATGTAATGGATACATCAGAATAAATGTCCCTCTCAGCAATCTTTTAGTATCATGCTCAGCTTTTAACAAAAGAATATCAAAAACTTTGCTAAAATAAAATTGCACAGGAAAATTATAAGTTAATATTTGACACATACGAAAACATAGACTTACAAATCGACTTTTATAATAAACTTGAAACAATTTTTTTATACTATAGTACATAACAATTGCCATAGCATTATTAAATGTTCTGCTTTTCGTTATATAACTCAAATTTCGTTAAAATCAAATTGAATTTTCGGAAGTTCTATTTGACAAACTTTTGTGAAACACGATCTAAAAATAGTGCTGAAGTGTAGTGTAGAAATCGAACCCTCGCAGGCCTTATGTCAATAACATCTGGTTATTGATATATGAACTACTTTCTTGTTGCATGCCTGGAAGAGTAAGTAATAAAAAAAAGTGAAAAAAAATGTGTCCCAAAGTCGATGAAGTAAAACAATCCCTTTATGATTAGCATCAGCAACTATTTCGTTCTTGATCGAAATAAAAGCATCCGAATCCCAAAAAATGCTGATCCCTCATCTCTTTCTTCGTGAAGCTTTTGGGGAAAGTTCCAAGTGTGTACAATGAAGATTGAGTCAGATACTAAAAGAATACCAAAAGAAACATTGATTCTGATATATCCGTTATTTTTTCTTAAAAAAACTTTTTTGTTAAATAAATTTTATTTAGAAATGCTATTTTAACATTTCCCGAAAACTGTGTTAATACAACGATTTCAGTAAAATTTTCTCAATATACTCGTGATCAACTTGCAAAAATTCTTCCAAAAAATGGACAAAATATAGTTGTATGTAGAAAACAATATTTTTGTTTTGAGATCTTGTTTGTTTTAAAATATTCTTTCATAGGCTAAAGAAACACTTTTTAACAACGTCTATGTTATTGAACCACATGAATATCGATTTTCTTCTAATATAGAGTTTGAAATTCCATTGACAGAATTGAATAATAATGAAAAAAATGTTGATGTTCTTCAATTTGAACCTCGAAATGGTGTCTATTTAAAATTACCTACTACAATTGATACAAATAATCGTATGCTTAAGTTTCGATCAGATACGGCTGGTGTATTTGTATTTGTTGAAAGACCATCAAGTGTAAGTTTATTAATAAATATTTTTTTAATTATTGATATTTTCTTTTGTTTCTCTGAAATTTATTTAGCCAATATGGATTGCTGGTATAGTAATACCTATTGTATTAGTACTTATTATTGTTATTTCAACAATAGTTTATTTTAAATTAAGTCCAAATAGGTATACAGAAATTAAAGGTGAATTATCAAAAACAAAACGTTCGTTTTTGCCACGTGTTTGATTTTAATAATGTATATTAACTGACAAATCTCTTTTTTATAATTAATTATATATATATTTTTTTTTTTTGTAAGTTTTATTATTAATACGATTAATAAATTCATATCTACGTTATATATTAATTCAATAAAGAAAGACAAAAACTAATTAAATTGTTCAATGAAAATAACAAAAAGGAAAAACTTAAGAAAATTTTTTCATATAAAAAAACTTGTCAATGTAGTCACTTCGGGGCTGAAATGTGGAATTCACATGTGTTCTTTAGTCTCATTATACTAATATAAAATGCATAAAGTAAAAAATCTCTAGGAGATTATAGAAGTTTTTCAAGTATAATCGATTGTCAGAGAAACGAACCTTCTGATTTATTTCTGCATATTGTGCAGAAATTTTTCTTTTCTATTACTGGTGCTCTATTTATTGTTTTCATTGTCGCTTTTTCTTCATTGTTTATCATTATAAGATTCTATTGTTCTTAATTTAAAAATTATTATTAATCGAAATACTGATATTACTGATAAAATAAGCCTGTTGTACATATCCATCATATCTACAGCACGTCTTAGTACATTATTATATATCTTGATAAACTTAAATACCTTGATATGGATTATTCCTCAAGTGTATAACTTGATTAATACATGTTTTTTATATTGATCATATGACGACTGTGGCAAATCGATGCATCACTACTCATCATCCTTGACATCTTGAATATAAATTTTTATCTACGTAAAACTATAAACTGCATTATTGAGAACATTCTAACAAACATCTTTCAACTACTCAAATTTCAAGAAAGATCTTACAATGTTCCTGGAGTTTTCTACAACAATCTAAGTCTTGTTGTTAATACCGTTCAGCACATTTTCCCGTCGCTAAGGAACTCTGGAAAAGGATCTTGAAGCTTTTTGTTCTCAATTGCTTTGAAAACGTGACCAATTACCGTTACTTTCCTCTCCTGCTAAAGATAACATACTCATTGATCTCGAAACTTTGACTCTAATTGATAGAACCTAGGGAATGGTAGGCACAAAAAACTATAACTTAATATTCTCTATATGGCTATAAAGTATGAAGTAATTATATATTTTTTCCTTGTCTTACTTTCTTAGAATAAAGTGTAAATTTATATTTCGAATAGTATGATTTGGCTTGATATCCTTATTATTAAAACAAATAAATATAGTTAATTGATGAAAATACGTCATAAGTATTTTATCTGGATCTAATATACGCTAAATTTTGAATCAGTTAATAAACCACTCAAGAGTCGACAAAATCGTATATTATAAATGAATTGACTTTCAAAGATTTCATGACTCTAGTTGTACTTTTGAATCGTTTAATTGAACGGGTAGCAATCAAAATACAAAAGTCATATTCTATAGTTTCAAAGGTACTGACGTCTCAATGCAATTGAATATCATGTTTTTTTGGAAGGATATTGGCACAATCTTCTTTTCTATGATGCATATGGATATATATAATCATAATGCTGCTCTGATTAATTGAATACAAAAATTTTCTATCTAATGAGAGTATATTTCATTAAATGTATTGTTTTCTTATGCGAGCAATAACTTCAAAATGTGTCGATTTAACAAAATATACCTGAATGAGTTCTCATATGATTTCTATTGGTTTTCGAACATTAGTTGCTAGTGTCATAACATCAATCTTTTCATTGACTATGGAAACACTTAATCATGGTAAGGAACAAATATTTTATGAATATCGTAATCGTATATTACATTATTATAATATTGATGAATCAGAATTAAGAAGAAAACCTCGTCAAGCAATTAACCCTTTGGCTATCGCCGCCGTTTATAAAGATCATGGGCTTTATCAGCGTCTAAAACTAACACAATCAATTGTAGTACATATTTTTTGGATTAACTTGCGTAGAAACAAGCATCAGACAGCTGAAGTCTATGATACCATTATAAAACGATGGTATATTCTAGAGTCGTGACTTAAAAAAGATGGTGCTTAGCGAACAGTTAATTTGTTGTACGTATGATTATCTTTTATTCTCTTTCTTCTTATTCAAGAACTCATTGCAAAGTGCAGCCCCAAGGAGTCACATGTTAACAGACCATTGAGTGCTCATCCATTGCAATTGATAGTCAAACATTTCCCGTCTCTAATCCCTCCAAATGAAAGCAGTTAGACTCCTACAAAAAGATGTTATGTTCGCAGCAAAACTGAACATGGTGTGAAGAAACGGAGCGACACGCATTACCAGTGTAGTGAATACGATGTCAGTCTGTTTATTACTGACTGCTTCAAACATTTCCATAACTTACAAAAGATTTAATGTTATCTCATATAAATCTGTAAAATTGGATCAAAAATAAGTAACTATAGCTATGTTCTAAAGAGCTTTTTTCTCTTTCTTATGTCGATGGCCAAAGGGTTAAAAACATAGCTGTTGTCGAATATTATATACAAATATTTAATTAGATCTAATTCAATGGGAACAAATTCCATTTAATCGACTATTACATATGTTATACTTAATAATATCATTTAGTAGTACGGCACGTTTGACTCTATTTTTTACCAGAGGGGATATCTGCTTTTATTTCAGATTGCCCTCAGTCAGATACAATGGATAAATCTATATAAAACTATTTTCTACATGCAGAAAAATTTTCTTATCAAATCTGTAATACTAGTGACTAATATTATTGACATCCTGGATAGGCAAGAAACGTATCAATTGTTATTAAAATATTTATATCGGCTTAAAGAATTGGTTGATTCAATATTAGATATATAGAAGTAATGCCAAACTATATATATATATATATTTCAAAATATATCAATTAAAAAAAGAAACAAAAAGCACACATAGTTAAAAAAAAAAAGAAGGATCGCACACTGTCTGATTTCTAATTGTTAAAATTTGGTTTTTCATCTTTAGTTTTCGTTAAAACTTCATAAACAAGTTGATTGCTGAAAATTTTTTCCTTGGCTAGAGACGTATACAACATAAACTGTCGCTGCGAATCGATACAAAATGAAATGAAAACAAAAACAAAAACAAAAACGAAATACCACATTATTGCACAACAAAATTAAAATATAGAAGAAAAAAATATAAGAAGAAGAAGAACAAGAAGACCGGTATGAATGCTATTAAGCAGCTGATTCGCTTTCTTTTATACCAAATGGTTGTGTTGCTAGTCGTTCGATAGAACGTTTTATACTTGCATTTTGACGATCATATTTTTGAGAATATAGCCAATCCGTCCTATTAAAAAATTTAATAATAACTTATAGAATATTAATAAATACAAAAAAAACACAGAAGCACAAGAAAAAGATATACCACGGCAAAGTCAAAAGTAAAACAAAAAGCTAACAAGCATTTTTAATATCAAATAGGATTGAATATACATGCAGTTTTTCGTTTCTCAACTCTTCAACTTTATACTTACATACTGGTATTAATAACAAAATCGAAAAAACCTGACTCTCGATTGTCGTATATCAAATCTGAATAAATATTACGAAGAAAAATTTTCTTAATATTAATAAACGGAAAAAAGAATTTGATCATTTTTCTGATTATAATTGAAATTTACTAACAAGGGAAGTTTTCCAACTGAAAAGAATTTATGTTCTTAGCTTATTTCTCTCGAGATACTACATTTTTACAGTATCTTTTAATGAATACCATAGACATCCTCCTCAGGGAAACTGGTTTTGGCATTTCGACTTGAAAATTTCTATCGAGAACGACCTTAACAACAGTAGTTTATTCTGAAAATTTCAAGTGTTTTGATCACCTGCATCCTAAAGTAAGAGTATTGAATTCTCCAGTGTATATGAGTGATGTAAAAAAACATGTTTTTATCATAGCTGTATCTGAGAATACGAAGAATGAAAATATCTGAAAATTTTACAAGAAATTGTTCTCATTAAGGCCTATGTCTACGCCAAGTTTCAAATCGAAATTCGAAAATTAGTCTTCTAGAGGTGACCACGGCATCCATTGAAAACAATAATCATCAAAATGTACTATCTTTACAGTGATAAGTTAATGAGGGAATCACTTGAACTGTTACTTATCGTTTGAGCTCATACTGGATTTAGAAACAGGTCTCAGGAAGACTAGAAAAGTCCTAAAGGGCTTGTGCGCACGGAATCTTTGGAGCTGAGTGATAACTGTTTTAGCGAGTTTTCGATCCAACTTCTGGTATTTACCGAAAAATCAAATAAAGATATTTCGATCTGAAGTTTCGCTCATAAATAGGTTGAATGACTTGTAGAATATTCTGAAGTTTTCAGTCGAAAAGAATATTCCTTTGCCGACATATTGATTTTCCGAAAAAATGATCGTTTGTCAAAAAAAATCGAGTTTATTCTGTTTTTCGGTAAATATCTAAAGCTGAATAGAAAATTGAGTAAAACAGTCATAACTCGGCACCAGAAGTCCATGAGCACCAATCTTTTCCTCCTTGTGAACCCAATATCAGTTCAAACACTCGGTATCAGTTCTGATAGTTTCCTTCTAAGAGCACAAACTTTTTTCAAGATATTTATGGTTCATTTGGGTCTACACACTGCACGTAATTTCAACTCTAAAACGATTTATTAGTTTGGAGACTTCCTTTGTAAGATATTGAATTTGTTAACAAGTCTTTTTGATTAGTAAGAGAAAATATCAAGATTTAACATTAAAAAAAAAGCTAAGATTTTTGTTATTCAATGCAACAAATAAGTAAGATGATTTCGTTTTTCTTTTTCTCTCTACCAAATTTAATAATATTTATATTCATAGTTCTATTGCGTACGAGAAGTTTTATCGTATCTAAAATAAAACATAATGACTATCACCAATGAATTAAACAGATATGGAAAAATAAAATATAAAATAAAATAAACAACACCAAATTTGATTTCCTTGAACAATTACAAACAACAATAGTCTACCTTTATCTTTTCCTTATTGAGAATCAATATAAAGTCCTGATGCATTATGTCTAGAGAAAGATAAATTTCTTCATGCCACATGATTTCGCATGTACAGAATTTTAATTTAGTCCATAGAACAACAAGAAATAAAAATAAAACTTACTGTTCAATAATAACTGGAATTGAAATAGGATTATGAGGAAATTCTCGTTCAAGTTCAGATATTGTATATATATAATGAACTTTATGATAGAATTTATTGCTATGAATAAATAATATATATATGCTTATACATATTTAATATCCCAAAAATAGAATAACTTTTCTTACCTGAAGAATGGTCGAGAAAGAGCAATAACAGTACGTAACCATCGTGTTGGATGTACAACATAAATAGCACGAAGATTTTTTCGTAATCTAATTGGAAAAAAAATATGCAAGTAAAAAAAACAATTCAATTGAATATAAGAATAATAAACAGATTCCACATACCGAAAATTAATCATTTGATAATATTTACGAAGAAATTTTAATTCTGGTGTTCGGTGTTTTGGTGTTGCTCCATGAAAATAAACTAGTACATAATCATTAGTTACTAATTTTTCTAATTTATGATAAACATAACTAAAACAAAGAAAAGAATAAATCAAATTAATCAAAACAAAAACTAATAATAATAAATTAACTAACTAAAATAGTTGATCCATAATATAACGATATTCTCTTAAACGACGATCAGGTAACCAACAACCATAGATAACAATAATAGCTGTTTGCTTGTCTTCTTGTAATTTACCAACTGAACCAAAAACACATTTAAATGGTGCAATTGTTTTAGCATCGATATTAACTTGATTATTATCAATCACACATGAAATCACACCATTTTCTTCATCTGGATCAATGTCAGTATAATCTTTCGATGTTGGACGAAGAATTGCTAGAGACAAAAAAAAAATACCAATGAAAATTAATTTTTGTTTTTATTTTCTTTCTAATTAATCATAGATAGAATTTCTACAAGTATTTTTATTTTTTTTTTGTCTTCTGTTTATACATTTGCTTATATTAATGAATAGATTAACGGAAATGAATCGACATAATTTCCTGAAATATAAACGACATTAGACAAATAGAGTTTTGATAAAAATCTTCTTTTCTTTTTTGGTGTCTAATTGGAATCTATAGATAGAAACTAATGTCATTTATTCGATTCTCTTCATAACCAATTATTGAAAACATATTTTCTTAGATTCTTTATCGAATCCTCAGTAGTACTTGATTGCATGTCAGATGTTCTTTTTCCTACTCATCAATGTCTTACAGAGCAATAACAAGAACTTTATATTTGTGAATGAATAAATGAAAAAAAACACAGAAAGCCTACTAGAAATTCTATTACTAGAAGAGAATGACGTCGTTCATCTTATGATTGAGTAGTGATGCTGTTATTTCAACTAACAAAGACACGCACATATATATATTCATATATTTTTTGAGAGAATAAATCTCATTGTGTTGCCATTACTCTTCTTTTTCCCGAGACTAACCAAGAACAAGAATATGTGAAAGCAATTGAGATCGAAAACAATATTTTTCTTTATTTCTTTTGCAAACAAATCTTTTGTTTTGTTTTTCTTAGGACAAGATGAATCATCCTATACGAGGAGAACATAATGATAACGATACATTGTTAAAAAAAACTTTATTTCTTGGCTTTACACCTTTAGTAATTGCTGCATTACTTTATGTTAGTTTAAGTTTATGTATTCAACTATCAAGATGTTATTCAAATTGGCGTCTGAAACAACAATTAACTATTGTAAGATGTTCAGAACAATGCCTTATAGTTTCAAATCCGTCAATAGATGATATTAACCAGCAGTCCACTCCACAAGTCGTTTAATCTATTGTGCATGGCTGATATGTAGCTTCCTATTATATATCTATATAAATGCCATCATTTAGTAGGCGGAAAAACGATGAGAATATTACACGCAATAGTTTACTTCTCTTTCCACCCTACTGTTTATATATATATATACATACATAGGTCCCTATACGTGTGGGGATAATCAGACAACCTACTGTACTGTCGTTTTTTTCTTTGATGCATTGGTTCTTGTTGTTATTATTATTACTATTATTATTGCCTCTTTTTTTTGTATCAACACTTCGTTAGCAACATGCCGTAGTTAGTAAAGTCAAGAAAATGTCCATTCCGCATAAATCTTTATCAGACGAAAAAGAATACCACAAAATCTCAGTTTGTATCGGATGATTAATACACCAGATAACTGTATCAGTAACTGTTTTCTATGCAATATTATGGAACAATGTTCACGTCAATGTATGCGTCGAACATTTTATGCTGTTCTAGTCGGTGTGTCACCAATTGTTATCTGTTTATTATTTATTGGTCTCGCTCGTTTAATATTATATCGTCTCGAAATAGCTTATTATCGTCGACAAAAAATAACTGATCGTCGCTCGTCATTACTTTCTTATCAGAGTGGTCGTCTTGCACTTTCTTATACACCTGTATCAAATGCTGAATTACAACGTATTATTCAAGGCGAATATCAAAATCAACAAATAAGAGATCCATCATCATTTGTTTACAATAGCCATAGTAATATACGTAAAGCTCCAAGATTTATTAGATCAATATTACCAAGACGTGAATCAACATTACCAGCATCAAGTATTCTTGCAAATCTTATTATACGTCGTAATGCTTTGGATGCAGGTCCGATTACAGGAATAGTTACACCTATTGACACACCATTACAACCTACATTTTCTATAATTAATGAACAAGAAAAACGGCAACCAAGTATGATTACTGTAACAAAAGGATCAATCGAAGCCATAACAACAGCATCAACAGTAGCAACAATGAATAATAATAATAATAATAATAATAATAATAATAATAATAATAATAATCATGGAAGCTTTTTGACTACACATGATTTAATCGAGTCTGAACAAATATCAAATGATCAATTAATGACTGCAACAAAAACATTGACAACAACAGTTGTTGTTGAAGAATTACTGGATTTTCATTCAGTTAGTTCAATACCATGTGCATTAACTTTGCTTAATCAAGTTGCAGATAATGATAATGAGAAAAATTCAGAGATAAATAAAAATAATGAAGAAAAATAATAGATAAGTATTTTGAAAAAAAAAAGAAGAAAAAATCTCGTTTGATGTAATAATAATGATAAGTACAACATATATATTTAAAAGTCAAGGTTTTGCGCTCCATTATATATACATAAATATTCGCGCTGTCAAACAACTCTATTAACTATGAATACTCATTTAAATATATATACTCTCGTTGTTTTTATGTTCTATTCATTGATTTGTGTAATTAAACAAGTAATATACACTGATATAGTCTGTTACACTAGACTAGTTTTTTTTTTTGATATGAATTAAATATATAAAAAAAAACATAAAAACTGGGTACTAAATAAAGTCAGTAGTAGTGAAGATGATTTATTAAAACTTTTTTACATCGTTTGTATGCAGTACAATGTGATAATATATAAACTTGCCAATCAAAAATACCTAATGAAAATAACAATAAACTGTACGTACTAAAGATGACAAAATGTCTAATAGAAATTTGATTGATGCTAATGAGAAAACAGAATCTCTGTGTATGTTTGAAGAAACTCATATGGTCTATATGTCAGTTACATAAATTCATACAAGTTCAGTAGAGAACCAAATTGATGAGTATATTAAAAAAACGACTTTCTCTAATACTCAAATTAAAAATGAGAATGTTGAAGAAAATGAAGTTTTGACTATTTTTTCATGGAGATATTAATAAACTTCATTCAATAATTTCAGCTCATCATCATCAACAACAATTCCAATGTCATTTATAAATAATATCATTGAAGTTAATAATAAAAATAATCGATATTTTGATAAATAAAATGAAATATCGACTAAAAATATTATTAAAACACTTTCTATTCTAACAATTCTTCAATCATTAAGTTTATTGACTAATATTAAACAGTATGATAAGCTTTTTCGTTATCTTAATTATCTTGAAATAAAAAAACAAGAAATATATCATTCAATAAAATCATCAACATCGTTATAAAAGAATTTTTATTTCTTTTTTATCTTATCTTTCTTTTGCCTAGAATACATATCCATCTGTTCATAAAACTTTATTACAACAAGAATCAATATGCAATTATTATTGATCTCGAACAACTATGCCATTCATTAACAATTGATCATTTAAAAGATTATTATAATTCGAAAGAAAATATTTTGAATGAAAGACGTTAATTGATAATTAACATGGAAAACAAAAATATCAAATTCCAATAATAAAATCATTTAAAAGAGTTCTATCGAATCTTACTGCTCATGCTTTCAATATATCATATTGAACAACAACAACAACAATGTCCAACAACTATTTAATATAATCAGCTATCAACATTATTACAATCAAAAACAGTTCATTTTCAACTTCCATAGAATTATACTTATTATGACATTATTTTAAGTCATAATAATAATAATTATTTTCAAACACAATAAATCAATAACAACAACAATAGTATCAGCATCATATATCTTCAACTATAATAATGGACAAAAGTTTAGAGCAGCTATAATTTCAAGTTTTCTTCTCGATGGTAATAACTAGCATGAGTCTTAAAAAAGCATGTGTATAACTGAAAAGATTGTCTATCAGGATTAGTAGGCTCGAAAACTTCAACAAAACTGCTTGGATGAAAGTCTTCGGAAAACTAAGACCGCCAAAACCAGATTTCTGGCATCCATTGGAAGATTTTAGAAGAAGATTTTAATAAATAGAGCAACTAATTCTCAGTAATGTGAAACGTCTCCGATATCTCCATGACCTTCTTTCATCGAACTGCATTCAATTTACCGAAGGTTCAAGAAGAATTTGTCTCTTCTTTTTATTGAATGTTTCAATGTTTTTTGTCATGTTCAGCATTTTGCGATCTTCTGTAAATTAGAAAATTTTTTTCCAAAAGTTTTGCATGGTTGCCAGAAATCTAGTTTTGGAGTTTTGATTTTTCAAAGATTTTCATTCAATCAGTTTTGTTAAAACCTTTGGGCTTACTAATTCTGATAAAGAATTCTTTTAGTTATAAAAATATTTTCTTTTATCCTTACTAACTATTACTATCGAGAAGAAAATTGAAAAGTACAGCTGCTTTCAACTTATGTCCGCCATTATACAATAAATACAAATCGTATTTATTACTATACCTGAATCAAATGATTGAGCTAGTTGTGTAGTTGTATCACTTAATAATTTTGAATCAGTTGTTATTTCAATAGTTGGGGTAATTTCTGGTTCAGGACGTAAATTTATTTTACGTTTTAATTCTATATTGGATTTTGGTGATAATGATGATACTGTTGATTTTGATGGAATGCTATCGGTTGAAGAAGCTGAAATATATAAATAAATAAATAAAAATTGTATTATATTACAGAATAAACGTACATGATTTTTTATTTAATGGTGGTAACGGTGGTAATGGTGGTGGTAAATCTTCACTTTCTGTTGACGATATATGACTTTCTTTTTGATGGGTAATATTACGTGTTATAACTTCATTTGTTTCATTATCTTTCACTTTATTACCATTTGTTTCTTTCTCATTCATAAAATCAGTAATTCGATCACTAACTGGTTGAAAATTCGATGTCATATTTTCATCTTCAATGTCATCTGTATCACTAGTTGTAGTTGATGCCATAGATTCATCAAGACTATCTTTTGGTGTTAAAACAGCAACTTTTTCTATATTTTCATCAAATCGTACAGTTTTTGATAATGATGTTTCACTAGTATTTTCAATTGGTTTATTTTGAGTAAAATAATTATCATAATTTTCCTGATTACTTTCGTCATTATTTTCTTCATGTTCGGATTCTTTTATTGTTGGAGGTAGTATTGGTGCTAATCTTAATCTTGGAGAATCCAAAGGAACATTATCATATAACTCATATCTTTGTGATATAGTTGCTGGTATTGGTTTTATTTTTTCTTCACCACTATCTTCAAGTTCCCATGGTTCATCATCACCATCAGCAGATTGTTTTACGTTAGATTGTTGTTCAAGTGGTTCTGATGATGCTTCTTGAAATTCATTATCAGCTTCAGTTGTTATTGATTCAACGTGTCGTGCGTTAAGTGGTTGGTCACTAGCATAGGCTTCAAATTGTGACGAACGTGATGTAGTTGCAAAAATATTGCCTTCTTTTTTCGATTGATCATCATCATCATCATCACTGTCGTCATCGTCACTGTCAGTACTTGTAGTATCGCTTTCATTGATTTCTCTTGTTGTTGGTACGCCAGTAACATGTTGATTCTCAGTTGACTTCAAATAAGAAAACAATATATATTTTTTTAATTTTATTGAATAGAATAAAACTGCATACTGATAAATTTTTTGACTCAGTTGACTCTTCATTGATTTTTTCATCAGTCGTCATTGATGATTCGTTCTAAATATAGAATTCAATAGAACTATTCAACTGTATGACACAAGAAGAGATAAATGAAATCAAGTGAGAAAAAAAAATGCATATGAGCTGAAAGCTTTATAGCAAACTGTGCTCAATTATTTTTTACCCATATACTTAAAAGAATTTTCAAAAAAAGAAAAAAGTATTAGAAATGAATTATGAAAATAAATTACCTTATTTAAAATAAAATCATCTTGAAAAATCGAACTATCATCAGAATTAATATTTCTAACCGATTCTATCAATGAATATTTCGTCAGATTATTTGTTGTAATAGCTGAATCAAAAGAATTTATTAGTAATGATGACGAAAGAGATTCTTGTATATCATTTTCTTGATTTGATATATTAGAAAATAAATTTGAATCATCAAATGTATTTGAATAAAATGATATTGTATCAATATTTTTTTCAATTATGATATCATCCGATTCTTCAAATTGTTTAATCCACATATTATCAAATGCTTGATCAAATGGATCAAGTGATGGTTCATTTGTTTGGTTATACCAATCAATAACTGCCTCATGATTATCAACTGTTAAACTATTATCTTCATTATTAAGTTCATAAATTGCTTGTGATAAGATATGATCAACAAAATATTCAACTCTTTTAGATTCATTAATTTCATCTAATTCTAATTGAAGAATATTTAAAGTCAATTTTTCAATAATTTGTATGAGATCAATGTCAAAAGAGGATAGCAGATGATTTTCTTGTTGTTTTTCTTTTTGAATAATAATATCAGATTGTTGAAATTCATTATTAGATAATAAATTATTATGAATAATATTTGCTATTGTATGATCTGTATAATTATCTTGAATTATATTTTCAGAATTTTCTATTGAATGTAATGTAGATGAAACCTTTAAATCATCATCTAAATGGCTTATAATCCAATGTAAATAATTCATGAGATCATTGTTATCTGTGTTTTCATTGAATAAAGATTCATAAGACATAGATTGATTCTGTAAATTATTAGAATTAGAATCTGTATTATCTCTTGTTGTTGATTGTTGTACACGATCATCATTATTTATATTTGATATTTTATTAGATTTTTGTAAATCATCGATTATTAAATAATTTGATGATGCAATTGAATTGTTTAATTCGTTCGTGGATGCTCTTAACGAAGATGTTGCAATAGAATCTGATTCATTATTATCAAATAAACCAGAAGATGTTAATGATGTTAATGAAAAACATTTTGATGAAATTGTTTCGTTTATTCTTTCATTGTTTTTCTTTTGATTATCATTATCATTATTATTATTCGATATTAAATTATGAATAATATTACTTTTTTCTTCTCCATATTGTTGAATTTTTTCATGTGTCTTTTGATTTATTTCCGAAGATAATCGAGGTATATAAACTAAACCATGAAGTTGAGCAAGGGTATTTAATAAATCTAAATCATTATCAAATTCATCGTCTGAACTCATCATTTGATAACGATTTTGTTGTTCGTGTTTATTATTCATCATATCTTTTATGTTAATATTTGAACAAGTCTTTTTCTGTAATTTCTCTTCTTTTTTTTCTATTAGGCTAGAACTATTAATAGCATCAACATTTTCTTCCTCTTCTTGTTCTATAAGAAGGTGATTGACAGCAGTAACAGAAAAATTGTTTGTTGTTTTTATGTTAGAACGACTGTTCCTTTCGCTGTTTGATATTAATAATGATGATGATGATCGTTGTATATTTTCGTAATGCTCGACTGATTTGCTTTCAATTTTATTATCATTGAATGCCTGTGGCGACGTATGAAGCATACTAGTAGCAATATTCGTTTGCTTGACTAATTCCAATTGCTATTAAAAACAAAAATAAAAGAAGAAAATGATGAATTGATTTCTTTTTTCTTTTCTTTTTGGTTAACCGATTGATGGATAATGATGACAGCATCTATCAATGTGGTGTTACATAACATGTATATCCTATCGACAGAATAAATCAACTACTGACGAAATAGAATTGATTTAGCAAGCAAAAAGAAGAATCAAAACCACATGAGAACATAAAGAGGTTGTTTATCCTTGACTTTTATTGAAGGACGATTCTTTGATAATTAAACGACCCCTTACTTAAAAATTGATCTTGAACCCGGTATACTCAAATCACATGAACTTTTCAGGATATATTAGGGCTATACTGGAGAGGCTATAGTAAAATTTTCAGTCTTATACCATAAAGTTTTCGGGAGATATTCAATAAACAAAGGTTAAATATATTTATTTGTTCTCTGTAGACTCTCATGCTATACATTTTATTTGTAGTGTTCTTCATTTCTTTTTAAATTTCTGATTTTAATGCGAAGACGCAACATAATAAGTATTTAATATTTCGGAAAACTCTTAAAAAAACGGTATTTATAGAAAGTCTTGTTTTATATCATAATGGAAAAGCTTAATTCAAAAAACTATCTGAATTAGATACTATAGCTTGGCATGCCCTTTCAAACAGAAGAAAAAGCAATTAATTACAATAGAACTTCCTTTGAGAATTCTTTGGTACGCAATCAAAAAAAACAGGATATTTTTCAGGCAAAATGTCGACAAAAAAAACGAGATGACCAATAAAAAAAGTATGTCATTTATGAAAGAACAGACTTCGACTTATCTTCCCATGCTTTTATCTAAATTTCGATTTTTCTGATGAAAATTGACATTCTTTTTGTTTTTTTTGACGGAATGGGACAACTTTAAAGAAAGACATTACCTGTTGATGATCATTATCATATAATACTTGTTCAAATATACTTGGATTATGCATAACAGCAATAAATTCATCATCATTATCATGTTCATTAAACATATGTCTCATTTGAATAATATCATGAACAATTTCATTTTGTCTCGTTTCATGTTTTAATCGAAGAAGATTTTCTAATGATATTCTAGATAATACTGGTTGATCAGAAGTAAATGTTTCTAAATCATTGTCATCATCCATTGTAGCAATAGGAACTGATTGAAGAGGTTTTATTTCATGCACGTCATCATCAATGTCAACTGTAGGCGATTGATCCGGAATAGGTGATGATGAATATGTACAAGGACTTTGATGATCTGAAGATGATCTTGAACGCTGATAATCAAGATTAATTTGTAGAGATAATTCATCATTATGATCATAATTGAATGTATTATTTTCAAAATGAATTTTATCATCATCATCATTATCGGATTCTGATGATGTTACAAAATAATCGTCATTAACAAAAATTCGAGCTTCATCAGTATAACCAATACTTATACGAGATGAATCATTTGAACATATTGAATTACTTAGTGATGAATCAATAAAATCTACTTGATTATGTAGATCTAAATTTAAAGCTATTGGTGGTGGTAATGGTGCATTTGGTCGATCATTTTGTACAGTTGTTTTACCAAGAATAAAATCATCATTCCATAATGTAACATCATCGTCATCATCATTCTTATTTATCTCTTCGTCATCATTATCATCAACATCGTCGTCACGTAGATGTGATGCTGATAAGAGAGAATCAGGTGATGACGAACATATCGAATCTGATTGATCGAACATATCCATATGATCAAATGGTAGTCTATCATCATCTTCTTCTTCAAGTTCATTGGGATCATCAATATCAGGAATATCTTTAAATAGAAATGGTATTTTTATTGAATCCTGTTGTTGTTGTTCGTGTTGTTCTTCATCCGTAAAATCATTTAAACATGAATCAGTATTATCATCATCATTTTCATTGTGATTATTTTTAACATGATGAACAAATCCATTAAATAAATTATTATTCTTCGAATTATTATGTGCTAAGATATTATCATCATCAAGTTTTTTCTTTATTAAAGTAGAATTATGTTGAATAGAAATACCATCAAAATCATCTTCATCATCCATATCACTAAAGTCTTCAATAGAAGATGCTAATGATGGATGTGATGTCGATTGAACATTAGTACTATTTGAAATATTATTTTCTTTTAGAGTTAAATCATTTTCAGTCATGTTTGGTTCTTGTGTTGTTTTTAAATCAATCGATGGTGATATAGAATTGATAAATGCTGCTGTAGTAAATGGTTCAGAATTTGCAAATAAGAATGAACCAAATATTTGTTGATAAGCTTTTTCATTATTAATAATTGTATTGATAGTATCAGACGATGATTTAATAGAAGTTGATGGATCAATTTCAAAGATTGAGGGTAAATTAGCGTAAAATCTCGTAAGATCTTCGACGTCAGACGTCATTTTGATCACTTGAACATTTGTTGCATTCGTTGCGAAAAAGAAAAGCGAAGACAATCGACGGTGAGGAAGAAGAAAAGAACGAGAAGATGAAGAATAAGAAAAAAAAAGTACTAGAGCATTAACAATAGTCGAAGAGAATCTATCGAAAAAAAAAAGATGATGATACGTCTAAAATATGGAAGAAGAAAAAAACGCAAGCGAGCAAATAAGCTAGCAAACTGCAAGAAGAACGAAGGAATAACAACAACAATAAAAAATACACCAGTAAAAGCGTCAAAGACACTTTTTTTTTCTTATTCTTTTTTGCTTCACTGTCATCTTTTTTATGATCGCATATATACACTATTCTAATGACTCAAATTGTCCTTCATTTATCGTATTGGGACAGAATTTCTTTTTCTTCTACTGTCAAAATCAATATAGGACACATATGATCGGAAGAAAGAAAGAACGAGAGAGATGGAGAGAATTTTGTGTAACAATACTGAGAGATTCTTTTTTCCTAGGAATACTATTGAATACAAGAGATGTCAATATACTTGCTGTAGGTTAATCTAATCAACTAAGTAAATGTTGTCCAAAGGACAAACATTGTTTTGTTCATCTGAAATTGATCAATGTAGAGACATCATCGAAACAAGTTTATCCTTCAGTATAAATCAGTTACTTATGTATCCTTCGTCATGAATGCAAAAGATATTAACACGTTTATTTATATAGAAGAAAAAAATGAAGTTTTCAATTGATTTCAGAGTTTTTTTTTGTCGTCTTACTCATCAACATAAATGACAATAATAATTGATTATGATTTCACGCGATACAGACATTGGACGCATATATATTTGTATGGATAGGCGTGTGCATCCTACATAAAACTAATGTCATAGGTGAAGAGAAGGATGCGACATTGACTAGTGATGGACGAGTGATAATTAAGTTATGTGTAGGAAGTAATTCATTTTTCTTTCTTTTTTCTCTATTTCTCTTGCTTTGTGTTCGTTTTTTTTGTTCGACGTGAAAGGTCGCCGACATCGTTACGAAATACGATAGACGATTTCACATCAACGATTTATCAATTCAATTTTCAATGTTAACAAATCATTTCATTTTCATGTTACAATTCAAAGTTTTTGTTCTCATTCATTCAAAATAAGTTTTTCATATGATACTTATGATAATAAAAACATAAAAGAAAAAGATTTATGTGAATTAGAAGCAGCCATTTAAAGAACAATAATTGCATGCCATTATCTGCAGTTGTTACATATCCTTACATAAAGCAATCACTTGAGCGCATCAGCCAGTTAGCGAAACTTACGGCATTAGTTGATGCTGAACCATCTTGAGTAAAATCATTTTTAGTCACATCAACAAAGTCGGGGTCAGATTCTGATGAAGAAGAAGAACTTGATGCGAATGTCGCTCGTTTTGCAGCTATTGTTGTTTTCATTTGCTCAGCAACATTACTAGATGCATCTTCTATATAGAAGTTATAAATTATTATGAATAAAGTAAACTGAATCGAATGTATTTACTTGTAGGAGAAGATTCAGATTGAATTGTTTCTTCAGCTGGAAGTGACGTAGGAGGTAAAGATGGTTTTTCTTCATCCTCATTAATACTATTTGAACGGCTTGTATTTGGTGTTGGAATATCATCATCTTCATCTCTTTCCATTTTTCTTTAGTAAAAATTTAGTTATATAATAAAATAAATCTTAAAATAACATTAAAAAAATTTGTCATCTGTTAACAATGTTAGTCAAGTGCAAAACGTCCTTCATATGTTACATGTAAATGATACTATGTAGATAAACAGTATTTTATCTTCAATCTTCAAGCATCAACTATCAAATAAGGAAGAAAACATGTCTGAATATAAAAAAAGAAATAATAATAATATAAATAAAATAATCAATGAAATTAATCAAATTTCATTGAAAAATTCTCATCTCAAACCGTTAGTTTAAGTCATTAATCTGTTTTATCACGAACAAAAAACATAATCCTTTAATAGTGTGGAATGATTCGTTCGTAACAAAAAAACAAGGAGAGAGTTGATCTTTTACTTACATAATGACAAACATGCGTTCGACTGCAAATACATAAAAAAAAATTCTATCTCGTCAAGAATGAAAATTGCGTTTCTTTTTTCGTACACTGAGTAATAAAAAAAAAGGCCGATGTAAGGAAGATGAATAAGCACACAACACAAACATTGGCATACAAAAAAAAATTGTCTTATCATATGACATTACGATGCGTCGTATTGTTACCGCTAAAAGATAGTAAAACACGTAGATGCAAACATGCAAAAAAAAAGGAAAAAAACTCAATTTTTTCTTTCACAACGACAGAAGACCTATACTTTTGTACAAGCTAATATGGTAGTTCACAATGTAAATATTATTCTTTTTAAAAGAAATGATTACAACTTTCAAAAAGCGACAAGAAAAAAAAATTGTCGTTTAAATACAAATCAACAATCTCTAAGACAATAATGTGAAAGGAGCATTTGAAAGACATTATATTTTTTAACATTAATACGAAAAATTTTCTAATGCCAATAACACAAAAACGACAGCGTAGTATTTCAAAGACGAATGCACCTGATGGAACAAGTTTGATCAAAAGATACCTAATAAATCAATATAAAGGTTTTTGTTTCTAGGCTCTACAACTGAATATAATAAACAAATTCGAATTGTTAGAATTCAAAGTCGATTACGAATGTTAGTCGAGCAATTACCAAATGGACGAAAACGTTTACATTTAAAAGGTAGAATTTTCATAAAGAAATCAATCTACTCAATTTAAATGTAAATCTCTCTCTCTAGGTATTGATACATTAGCAATACCAACTGAATTATATGAATTAACTGATTTGGATATACTTGATGTAACACCTGAATCAAAATCTGGAATGAATTATACATTATCACGTGTTCCAGCTGGTTTTTGTTTATTAACTAATCTTAAATGTTTACATTTAGATAATAATAATATAGTTTCATTTCCAAATGAAATTGGTGAATTATGTCATTTAGAAATTTTAACAGTAAGTAATAATCATATAACAACATTACCTGATCAAATACGTCAATTACAACGTTTACAATCATGTCATTTATCAAATAATAAAATTGAAGAAGTGCCATTATGTTTATGTTATTTATCAAAATCATTATTATTTCTTGATCTATCATATAATTATTTACGACAAATACCATCAAGTATTCATAATCTTAAAGAATTACGTACATTATTATTACTTGGAAATCGTATTAAAATTTTACCAGATACAATATGTCAATTATCAAAACTAGAAACATTATGGTTAGGTGATAATAAATTAAAAGAATTACCAAAAAATTTTTCACAACTTAAACATCTCGATTGGCATCATCATTGTGAATTATCATCAAATTTTGAAGGAAATCCATTAGAAAATCCACCACTAGATATTTGTCGAAAAGGCATGGAAGCTATTGAACAATATTTTAAAAAGACACAACATTAATCTATTTATATTTATTTGTAAAAAGAAAAGCAAATAAATCAAATACTACGTAATATTTTCTCTTTTCTTTTTTTTTGTACAAATTTTACTTTATTTACTACACAAAAGTAATAATACTAATTTTAAGTTCGAACTATACGTTACTCGAACTAAACAAAGCATTCAAATTAGTTTTTACTTATTTTAGAAGTCGAATATTACATGAAATTGTTGTTCATACTTTTTTCTAATCGTCCTATTGATATTCAATTTAATGATTGAAATTAGAGTCCTAGATCGGATGAAATCGGCAATCCTAGTAAATCCTTTCCTTGTCAGAATAATGTGAACAGCTCATATATACTATTGAATCATTGTGTGTGTGTATAATCATCGCACGTACTGAACTAATCCTAGTAAGCGATTGCTGTAGTTGATCTGCTTGATAACGGCTTTGTCATGTGTTTATTAATCGTTCCAATGAAATTTATACGCTTAATCAGGATACTATTTTGAAAGATAAAGCAAATAAAAAAAAGTCTAACAAATAAAATATACTTGATCAAGGTTATAAATAAACGTAGTTACTTCTAACTGTCGTTCAATTTTAATTTATATCTAGACAATTACTCAAGACAATAGATGATAATAAAATCAAAAGAATTTACATTGGTCAAAATGAATGCAGCAACGACTATAATTAACAAAAAATCTAAACAAATGTTTTGATATATATATATATAAATATTAAGGACTAAACCGAGCACAGTAAACAGTATTTGTTTCGAAATGTCCATTAACATTCTGTTAAATACTTTCGTATTCTTTCGACAGTTAAAATCTATATTTATACTATAAAACACACAGTTAACATAAAAACATCAAGGTTTATAATATAAAGTCAATAAAAACTTACAAGTAAATTGCTTTTAATTATGTATATGTTGCAGGCAAGATTAGAATTCTAATATTGACTAGAGAGTCATCAGTCAGAGCTAGCCTTCCAGTTCTGCATGGGCAAAATTAGAACACGACGAGATATACATTCATCAAAAAAACACATTCTTAAAATCGGCATACAATAATTATTATCATGTAACGGAAGTTAGTCCCTGATTCGAGTTTTTTCCGATTGATTCGCCTATTCTACTGTGCTACGTATGACTTGTCGTGTACCAGATAGAGCTCGACAAACTCTATTATATAGGAAATTTAGCATTTTAGCCAAGATCAAAAACAACGAAAAACAAATAAAACTATTATTTTGTATTACAGAGAAAAAGAATAAAATTCAGAATTTCCTAAAACAATTTCAGACACGAACCGTGCCACTTTTCAAATTTACATTATACGACGCATCTCGATGTTCTGCATCTGATGGTATCAATTAAGTCCTAATCAAACCAACTTGTGAGACCCCTCAAGTTGCGGAAACGTAAAAAAACACCATTTTATGATATAATACCCGTAATTATTTGTTCAATAACCTGTGCCACATGCAAATACGATTCTATTCGATTCATGTTGAAGAGGTGTATCGAATAACATATACTTCACCCCCACTGAACAAAAACTCCTGACTCAAAGTTCTTCAAAACCATAGATATATGAGACAACAGAACATATCCATCACTCACTAATAACCTATATTGTTTCACATTAACAAAATCCCCATTTTTCAATGAATCTGAATTGATTCTATCAATTGATGTGAAATTTGTGTGAATATTAACATTTTACTGGTCCTGGNATATTATTCGAATGTAAAAAACTTAATGCATCTGCTAATTGATAACCCCAATTAAGGACATCAACTAATGTATAATTCGAAGTTTTCTCTCTAACAAATCCATCAAGTGAACCATTACTACAATAATCAATAACAAGACCAAATGTACGAAGATTAATAAAATTTAAACGTTGAATATTTGGATGATGTTGAGCTATATCAGATAATTTAATACCTTCTTCTAGTATCCCATTGCGATGTTCCCTTGTATGTTGTCGTGCTCTTTTATGTGCATATAATTTTTTTTTATAACGTATTAATTCAACCATACCGAAAGTGCCATCACCAAGTGGGCCCAGTGATTCAATTTCATTTGCTAATGGTATAAATGGAATTTGACGTTCAACTAATAACTTGCGCAATTTTTCTTTTAAACCAATACCTCCATCTACGAAACGAAAAAATGCAAAACTTTCGTAATTGTTTTTATTTGTTAAAATATCTTTTGATTACATACCTTTTTGAGCTTTTTGAAGAGCTTCAGCAATGATTTGTTCTTTTAATGAACTATCCATTTACGATATATTTCTGCAAGAAGAAAAATTCTTCTATGGTAATTATTCAAATGTTATTTGTCATGGAAAAAAGCCGAAGCAAATATATCATTTTGAAAAAGAGAACCAATGAAACTTCTTTTATCAATATGAGTCATTTTATTTAACTGATAAAGAATAGTTGGCGCATTATTTCAGTAATCTACTTAGCAAATAACGAAAATTATAAACGAAATGATCACGATTAAATGTATTCATTAATAACCATAGTAAATGAAATCGATTGAAAATTTCAAACGATATTAACCGCAAAATCCAATGCGCAACGTATCGAGATAACTTATATGCATAAACTTTATGTTGAGTAACAACAGTAACGATAGCTCAATGTTCTTTTATATACAGTACAGTTGGCTAATACTACGAATGTTTACATGAAATCACTCGAAAACATTCTCACTATCAGCTACTAAATGACACCGTTCGGCATTTCAAACGTTGAACTCTATGCAATCTGTTATTCTACACTAAGCTGTAAATTTTTGAATAAACTTATTTTAATAGATTTACTGTGTATTTTCTGAAAAAAAAGAAAACAAAAAGTTATGAAAAGCTCAGCAAACATATAGCCGAGTTAGTCTAAGCTTTGTTGTGTTAGGGAGGCACAACTTTTCTCAAAAAAATAACAATTCTATTCGAACACTAACCGATTAAATAAAAAAGAAGAATGAATTCCGATAGATCGTCTATTTACTTTGAATGCAAATAAAGGAAGAAAAAATAATCTTCTTTTTTACATAAACACATAACTCTGAAACTATAATTGATATTCTTTAAAGAGGAAAAAAATCTCCTTACTTGTAGCTGTTGATAATAATGATGAAACCATATTTCTGTTATGTATGAACAGAAAGAATGAAGGAAACGACTTTATTTCGGTGTTTTTATACTTTTATTTTTGTATGAATATTTTTCTTTGTTGTATTCGTTTGGCCCAATAAATAGACGACTGAACATAAAAGATTTATATCGCTTGTAGGAATAACCTAGTGAGTCAACAGTAAACAATAAGAGAGAAAAACCTTTATAACATCAAGAATGCTATTCATTTCAAGGCAGCAAATATGGTAAGAGAAAAAAATACAGATTGCTTGTTCGATAGATAAATTTGTTTATTGATCAAATTATTGTGATAGTGCATTGCAGCTTATAACTATATGATTCGCATTTGTATGAAGGAATAAATTGCTTCCACATGGTGAAACATCTTTTATCGTTGCCTTATTAAATGATGATTAATTTCTAGATAGGTGAATATGACAGTATTGGGTTTCCCATGTAAATTACTTGCTAACACTAAAACAGCGTATGATACTCAATTAAAAATGTTATATATGTTATCAACGAACAATTTAGTTTCCTTCAAACAGATCTGAAAAAAATATCATGTTACTAACAAAAATTCATTAAAAGATTCAATTTAGGTTTATATATATTGAAATGTGCAAAAAACACTGTATATTTTTGTTCTTTTCTTATATAAAGGTTCACTGTTAATTAAAAATGATCATGAATAAAAAAGAACTATATGCAATTACGATCTAATCTCGAGAAAGAACAATCATATATGCTGAATAGAGATTTGCGTGACCAGGTTTTTTAGTCACGATCAGTCACGATCGCGGTCACGAAAATTTTTTTAAGCTAGTCAACGATCACGGTCACGATCATATCTGTGAGGAATTTATGGATTCTGTAACAATTACAGTCATAGACATTAAAAGACGTTAGTAAATAACGACCCAGGATGAAAATTACGGAGAGTTTCTCTCAGAAAAACACCGAAAATCGCTGGAGTAGGGAGAAGTATTTGAGCCGAAAACTTTCTGAACTCTTCCGAAAGATTTCGATCTGTTTCCCTGCGCTTTTCAGCAACAGCTGACCGAAAAACTTCGGGCCGGAAGACTCCTTTCAATATTTCTACGATTTTCCAGGTTTTTCTACAGGATACAGTGACTTTTCCAATATTTCGTGCCGATTTCTATGGTATCCGTCCACCGAAATGATTGATTCGAAGTCTACCGATGATTATCGCAGTAAAAGATTTTTGATAAAACAAGATTGGCTTATAAAAATCGATTTAAATCTTATGATATTCGTTTTTGATATATATAAAGAACTGCGTGACTCAGATTTGTTAGTCACGGTCACGGTAACGAGTGACCGTGACCATTTTGCAGACCTCTAATGCTGAACGATGAAATAGTAGTTAGAATTAGTAGTCGGCTCTCGTTCCTTCTGTTTATTTTCTCTCTGCGCACTTTACTAAAGTTGTTTGGTGGTTATAAACTCAAGAAACAAATGAATAAAGAAAGACAAGAATTTTTGAAAGGGCTCTTTTTTTCTCTCCGTCATATCTTCTCACCCTTTCAATCATATAATCTATGTGCATTTTGAGAGTTCTTTTCATACTTAATGACTTGATTTTACGAAAATATGTAATTACACTAGCGTAAACAAAATATTATATACTTCAATCGTTATCTGATCATGTTCTTCCTAGTGAAGAACTTTTTGTATCATTTTCAACATTAGCTGTATTTGGTGCAGAGAAACACGTTTGATCAGTACATATTAAAGCTCGGATATATCTAACATCACAAACAAAACCATCAACGAGTTATCCTGTCTTATTTCAGCCGCTTGTATTCGAAATGGAATTTTTTCACTCATTACTTATTATTGATCGCCATAAATGAGGGTAGGTCAATATACCAATTTGAAGATTGCGAACTTTCCTTTTTGGTAGAAATGCCTTTGTCACAACTGTACGGTAATACGAATGTAAAATGTTGCTGACCACATAAATTCATCAATCTATTTTGATGGTCCTACTTTTCGTCATTAGAGAACTGTACCACCAGATACTTGAACTTGCCAATTCAAGTCAATCATACGCTATTCAAACGAAGATTAAACTGCTCAAGTTACTTTGAAAGAACCATTACTTCGGTTGTTTTATATTGATTTTCATGCTCGAAGATAAATACTCCTTCATAAACTGATTGAGAGCTTTTTTAAGTCAATTCAGGTTAGGATTTTTTCCAGATATCATATCCATGAAAATTATAAATAGTAATGTCGATAATACTTATCCTTTTTGCAATCTGACTTGTTACCATATGTTGGAACAAAGCTTTTGAAGTTGATGCATATAAATTGAATTTCAGATAAGAGACGACTATTAATTCCTTGTTCTATTAACACTCTCCAGAGCAAGTCTCGTGGAAATCGATCCTATGCCTTCTCTAGGACTATGAATTATGTATAAACGGATTCGGCGAGTTCTCATCGTTTTTCAGATGCTTGACGTAATGTGAAAACCAAGTCTATCGTCCTTTATCCCATGCAAAACATGTGCTGTGTATCTTGAATATATATTTTGACTAGTTCTTGGCGTCTTCGTTCAATCACTCTGAAATATACGTCTCCGACTAGGCAGTGTAATTCTTCTATAATGAAAATACGTCCTTTGATCATCTTTTTCGAAAACGAGGACAATAATCCAAGAACTAAGGACTGCCGCAACTTCTGCCAAAGAGATAGAGATATTATGAAATTCATTCAATGACAACTAACTTAATGTTCCTTGAGAAACGAAAAATGGACAGTAATGTTCAGTAAAATGGCTCTTCCATTTATTGACAATGTATTCCTCAAGTGTTAAGCGTCGAGCAGCAGAAAATTTTTATGGAACCAATGGGTGTGGACCCAACCTTACAGAATTGGCGAATTGCCTGTCAAAATACTTGGCCGGCTGAACAATAATTTTATTCGAGATAGTGTCCAAAATTGTCTCATAAACCTGCTCTGACTTCCAGCCGATACCTAGGTGCGATCGACTACCAGATGCTAGCATATGAGCTCCGGCAACATGTCTGATTCTAAGGAAGTGTGTTGTTATGTCACTTTCAAGCGCGGTATGAGGAGTGTCTGTTGTGTGCGTCATAAGGGTTTCCAGAGAACCGCTGGCATAACCCAGAAAACGCCACTAAAAGTTGAGCTCGACTTTTCTTTCTAGTTGTTCTATTAATAAACAAAAAAAAATTTACCGATTTTCCATCATTTGAAAGTTTTCTTTTTGTACATAGATAAAACCAAGAATAAGATATCTAATGAACTCACTTTGTACATGAAAATAAACATGTCCGTGACTTTTTCGTAATCATGCATTAATTTCATAATCATTTTCTCACTTCTCTTGCATCTGTGTCAGTCATGTCGTTGTATACGATGGAGTTGAAGAAAGTAACTGTCTATTATAAATTATAGACATTTAATATATATAAAATTCGCTGAAAAATTAGAATTTTGAAGCTTTCGATGTTCGCCGTCATCTGCGATAGAAAAACTATGTAATTTCACAGTTAGACTTCTGAACAAACATAAATGCTCATGCCACTAAAAATTCTCTCTTCGAAAACATATTTGATGTTTTTTTTAGCAATGTTCTCGCAACTTGTAAAGAACCAGTTACAATTAATAGAAACGAACTTCCAGGAAATATACTATTTCCATAAAATCAATTTTTCTAAAGTTTACTATATAATTACATGTCTAGGCACTATAGATCACTCCAATATTAACTGCAATGGTTGTTAACTAAAAACCTAAGATCACAATGATGACAACTCAACAGTGTGTTTTTTTGTCAAAATACTTGTTACTGTACTTAAATTCAATAATGGTTCTATTTCCGTTTATTTCTGCTTTTTGATATGCTTTATTAAAGTATTTGAAAGTTGAAGAGTACATTTGTGGAACAGTGTAAAAAAGCGCATGAGTTCGCTTCCTAGTTAAGAGCAACGAGCTTCTCTTAAATAAACATTGGTTTTTCTGGTGGTAATAACTTTTAAAAAATTGTAGGCCACTTGGTTATTAATTACCAATTGCTACTCACTCACCAAAATAATTTAGTTGAAAACAATCCATGACTATTTGTACCATTCAATTTGCTTTTC